AGAGAGAGAGAGAGAGAGAGAGAGAGAGAGAGAGAGAGAGTGAGAGGGAGTGAGAGAGACATAGGAAGAGAGAGAGAGAGAGAGAGTGAGAGGGAGTGAGAGAGTTGTGTGTCTTCGAACCGCATCTCCTGGGCCGAACGACAAAAAACTAGCACATCAGCCTTTCATCAGCCAGCACACGTGCGGTTCTTTGCCGTCCGGTCCATCGGCAGCGGTCCGAAGTAGACAGCGTGATCGGTTCGCCGCGAGTGGGCTCAGCGCTGTTTTGCCTGAACGGACGGCCAAAAAATATTGGACAAATTGGATTTTCGCTTAAATTTTTATTTGCCTGATAAACTCAAATACATTCTTTTACTGGTATCGCACAGGAATGAATATTAGAAATTCAAAATCAAGCAGAAAAAACTGCGAATGCATTGAAGTTTGTTATCAATTTGATAAATTTAATAATAATTGTTCGATAAGAGTGAAAACTGAGAAAAGATCAATTTTATCGGTTAATGAATTAAAAAAAAGAAAAATCACTATTCCACAAAGAAAATTCGTTTTGTTGCTGGAAAATCACGGAAAAATTAAAAATCAATTAGCTCGGGGCGACTTAACGATAATTGATCAACTCACATCCTGGTCAAACGGTCAATTAACCTTGGCAGCTATTTTAATCTGTACATTAGAGGAAAATCACTTATCGGATTAGGCCGGCCGCGGTCAATCGCGGTCAATCGCGATTGATGGATTAGCCGAGCGGGCAAAACAAAATTTCGGTTTTTCCCATGCGGCGAAGAGGGGGCACCGCTTGAGTGGGGCGGCATCAGCTGACGCTTGACGGCTGACAGCGATGAGCGAGTAGTATGAGTCGAGTAGCACAGGGTGACGACTGACAATCGACGTTAGAGTCAGATCGTCTACTCTTCAGGTTACGTCTTCCTCAGGTCCTCCGACGAACCACTTCCAAAAAGCCTACGAGGAAAATCCGAAGAAAAATCGGCTTTTCTCAAGATCGTCCCACCGAAACATCCCGGGTCTCGGGTCGTTTCGATTCGAATCTGCAGGACCCAGCTCAGATGGAAGACTCAGACGAAGAGGTAAGGCGTCCCATACCGGTCGTTTCACTCTAACGAAACGTTTCTACGCCTCCAGCCGTTCGTCCCGATTTACAATACTCGCCCTTTTTAATTAACCGATCGGATATTAACGAGCCCGATCGATAGATGTCCATTGTTGCATAACTTAAAAAAATCTTTTCTTTTCTTTGCCTGTTTATATTTTTTCCCTGTACAATGCCCCTCTAGGAAAGACGAATCTGGCTTTCTAATATCCGCACATTTTTTTTTATTGAAGGCAGGATTCGGCTAGACAAAAAAAAACACCTCGTCACAGCACACAAACCTACTTTGGGACGATTTGGAATGCGTGACATTTATCGGCCCTCATCATCCCGCAGCTGGGACGTTCTCAATCCGTTCTGCCCGTCTTCAGATTTCACCCGTTTTGATTTCTCTTCGCACATCCGTATCCAGTCCCCCCGTTGAGAAAACAACGGCCGGCCGACAGTACGACACGATTCTCATGTTTTCTATTAAGCGCCATTATACTTGACTTTTATACATAAAAAACACTTGATTTTTTCCTCTATTAGGAGGTAGAAAAGTCACATTAAAAAATCTGCTTTTTAGAGAGATCGGTTTGTTGTTGTTGATAAACTAATCGTGGTGCATCATTGGGAATGCACTACTTTCAGAATTCTATATTCCTAGATATTATTGTCATAGTTTACCTATTTCTTACCAGTAATTATGTATTATTTCTCCATTCAGAAGTAGAAAATTTAATTTAAAACAAATGTCTCTTAGAAAGATCCATTTGCTGTTGTTGATAAACAAGTAATGATAACATCTTTGGGGGGTGGGAGTGAGGGAAAGAGAAGAGAGAAAGGCAAAGGAAGAGAGAGAGAAAACTACTTTCAGAATTCTACATTCCTAGATATTATTGTCATAGTTTACCTATTTGTTACCAGTAAATATGTATTATTTCTCCATTCAGAAGTAGAAAATTTAATTTAAAACAACTGACTCTTAGAAAGATCTTTTTGTTGGTTGTTGTTGTTGATAAACAAGTCATGATAGCATCCTTGGGGGTGGGAGTGAGGGAAAGAGAAGAGAGAGAGAGAGAGAACTACTTTCAGAATTCTACATTCCTAGATATTATTGTCATAGTTTATCTATTTATTACCAGTAATTATGAATTATTTCTCTGTTCACCAGAATAAAATTTATTTTACATCAACTGTCATTTTAAAAAAATTTTGTTGTTGTTTTCTTGTTGATAAACAAATCAGAATTCTATATTCCCAGATATTGCCATCCTTTATTTATTGCCAGTAATTGTGAACTACATTTCCATCCAGAAGCAGAAAATTTAATTGAAAACAACTGTCTCTTTGAAATATCTTTTTGCTGTTGTTGTTGATAAACAAATCATGTTGGCATCATTGAGAATGAACTACCTTCAAAATTCTACATTCCTAGACGTTGCCATCGTTTATTATTGATTGCCAGTAATTTTGAATTATTTTTCTGTTCAGCAAAAAAAAAATTAAAACAACTCTCTCTTAGAAAGATCCTGTCATTGTTGTTGTTGTGTTGATGATGATGATGATGATGATGATGATATACAAGTTATTATAACATCATTGGGAAGGCACTACCTTCAGAATTCTACATTCCTAGATATTGCCATCCTTTACTTATTTATTGACAGTAATTATCAACTATTTCTCCATTCAGAAGTACAAAATTTAATTTAAAACAAATGTCTCTTAGAAATATTTTTGTTGTTGTTGTTGTTGATAAACAAGTCATGATAGCATCCTTGGGGGGTGGGAGAGAGGGAAAGAGAAGAGAGAAAGACAAAGGAAAAGGGAGAAAGAGAGAGAGAGAAAACTACTTTCAGAATTGTATATTCCTAGATATTATTGTCATAGTTTGCCGATTTATTGCCAGTATTTATGAATTATTTCTCTGTTCAGCAGAAGAAAATTTATTTTAAATCAACTGTCACTTAGAAAGATTTTGTTGTTGTTTTGTTGTTGATAAACAAATCATAATGCCATCATTAGGGATGAAGTACCTTCAGAATTCTATATTCCCAGATATTGCCATCCCTTTACTTATGTATTACCAGTAATTATGTATTATTTCTCCATTCAGGAGTAGAAAATTTAATTTAAAACCAATGTCTCTTAGAAATATCTTTTTGTTGTTGATAAACAAGTCATGATAGCATCCTTGGGGGGTGGGAGTGAGGGAAAGAGAAGAGAGAAAGGCAAAGGAAGAGAGAGAGATAGAGAGAGAAAACTACTTTCAGAATTCTACATTCCTAGATATTATTGTCATAGTTTACTTATTTATTACCAGTAATTATGTATTATTTCTCCATTCAGAAGTAGAAAATTTAATTTAAAACAACTGACTCTTAGAAAGATCTTTTTGTTGTTGATACACAAATCATGTTGGCATCATTGGGAATGAACTACCTTCAGAATTCTACATTCTTAGAAAGATCTTTTTGTTGTTGATAAACAAGTCATAATGCCATCATTAGGGATGAAGTACCTTCAGAATTCTTTATTCCCAGATATTGCCATCCTTTACTTGTTTATTTATGAATTATTCCTATGTAGGAAGCAGAAAATTTAATTTAAAACAACCTGGCTCTTAGAAAGAACATTTTGTTTTTGTTTTTGAAAAACAAACCATTATGGTATCATTCAGAATTTCAAAATTTTATATTACTAGATATTGTCACAGTTTACTTAAATAAGATATTGTCGTTATTAACATATTTATCAACACTCATTATGAATTATTCCTCTTTTTACTAGTAGAATATTTATTTTAATACAACTTGACTTGTTCAAAAATATTTTTGTTTTTGTTGCTGTTATTGATAAACAAATTATGTTGGCATCATTAAAAATGAACTGCTTTCAACATTTCTACAAGGGTCTTTTTAATAATGATTGATCAATTTTTGTTGTTCTTATGATAATCTTTCTTAAATAAATAAATACAAAAATATGGAGCGTTGGTGGCCGCAATGATTAAGGACATGGATCTCATCACTGTAAGGTAAATGTACTGGGTTCAAATCCAGTGGGCCTGCATTCAAACCCGACTTACTTACAAATGGGCTTTATTTCAAAAACACCAGCACCCTGAGGGTTGATATGACCTCTGTAGTTGAAATACCTTCATTAAATAAAAAATAAATAAAATACTATTTTTCTTTCTTTTTGTTTCAGATATTCGAAGATGCCTATGAAATAACTCCAAGGTATGTTACAATAATATTCTGTTGATTCTTTCAATAATTTATTTTTTGAATAAAAGAAGGGTTTTTTTGTGCATACAGAAACGACAATGTGCTGGATTTGGATACTACACTGCTCGAGTGTAAACTCGCAGTGGATTTGTTTTTTAACAATAAATTTGATGATGCCAAAAATGTTTTAGCGCCATGGTATGTATTGGTTGTATATTTTGTAAAAGGAAAAAATGTAAATTCAATTTTTCTCTACATTTTTGTAGGGTTGGAAAAAGTATGTACCACACTATTGGTAACGCGGTTTTCCAATTCCTAGAAGCAATGCTTACATTTGATCAGGTAATTATTACATTATACATTGCAGTTAATTATAAAAATATCATTTTTATGAATAATTACAGTTTGTTAAAAACCTCTTCGATGTAACAGTCTCCTGTAAAGTCAAAGTTTTTTTCTTCTGTAAATTACCAATGAAAGTATGATGTCAATTTTTTATCTCACAAATTGAAGAGATTTACTCAACAAATTTATCACTGAAAGGGGATACTCATTTCATGATGTTTGTTATCATTGCTCAGTCGATCATCCTTATTTGTTCTCCCCCCCGCCTTGGTTAAATTGATTAACTTTGCAAATTTCTTAAAATGGCTCATTATACAATATTATAAAATGTAAAAAAAAAATTCTCCCATACAACTTATTTTGCCCATAGAGTAAACATTCGCTTAATAATAATACAATTAAAAATTTGTGTTGTACATTTACAGGATGAGTTTAACTTCTGTTTCCCACTTAATGTAAGTTACATTTATATTTTCCCCAATTTCTCATGAGTCTAAAAGTTTTGACCTAACTCTCCAGGATAACAGGGTACAAATAAGAAGTTAACAATTTCAAATGGTAAGATACTCACTCATTACACAATTTGTGTAATTAATTAATTTAATATTTATGAAAGGTATTGGTTGAGATAAAAAAGTCAGTGTCACGAGCGGAATTCAAACCCACGACCTTCAGCTAAATACGCTGCTATTCTACCACTTGAGCAATAGCTAAACCAATACTTGAGTTCAAAAATCAAATAGATTACACGACATTTGAAAAATGGCAAAAAAGAGGGAAAATTCGAGAGGTGAGGTTGAGATGGGTAGTTGGTGTCCGAGTGGATTGAAGTCACGATAGCTCAAGTGGTAGAGCAGCGGCATATTTAGCCGAAGGTCGTGGGTTCGAATCCCGCTCGTGACACTGACTTTTTTATCTCAACTTAAAAGCCTTAATTAATTTTCCAAAAAATGTACATTGATGATGGTAAACACTTACGCTGGATGATGGGGTGGCACCCAGTGAGCGAGCCTTTTATCACCTAGATAACCCCCATTTTTAGGCTGGCTGTTCCAGTGGTTGGCCTTGGTGCTGGAGTGTGGAATTTTATGCATTGAGGGATTTGTTTTACACACTGCTGCCATTTTACGCCTCTGACCTCCTGAAATCTTTTTGGATTTGAGGTGTAGTTTGTTAATATTTTACGGCACCTCCATTTGAGTGGTTTTTCCTTAATTTTGATTCTATCTTCCTGAAGACCCACCACATATGCAGAAGGAGATTATCCTCTAGGACATCATTTGTATGAGATAATGAGGGTTCAGAGACCTCCTCTCCATGAGCTAGGTGATGGGGTCTTCCTTTAGAGGTTTTTTATTTTTATTTTTGAGGATTTCCATTTTCAACAAGTCCTATCCCTCTTTCCATCTGTTTATTTAACAGGGTATGCTTCGAGAAGGTGAAAAATTGGAGTTGATTGTTACAGACTATTAGAGACACATATTAACCATTTATACCTCGTTATCCTAGACAGATCAAAACTTTTTGGCTCATGGTAAACTAAACAAAATATAAAAAATTTACGTGTCTTCAGGATTTTTTTTCTCACAAAAATGGCCCTTTAAAAAAAATACAGTGAGGAACAGAAGTTCAAGAACTCACCCTGTATGAAAACTTCAAAGTAATATTGGTTGTGTTGGCTGCGATCATGTAAAAATAATATCCCTGCCATGACCTAAATCATGTCAGTAGCGATAAAATATTTATCATATGTTATTTCCCTAATTTTATCAGATATTGGCGGTTGATTCAGGTCTCTCGCGGTATGTATGCATACTTTTAAACAAAAAAAAAACTGTTTGGTTTTAATCTTGTTCATGCTCTGAAACTAACTTTTTTTAAATTATGTATAACAGACCACATACAAAAAAGTGGTTGCTTTAACTATTTTGAACAATTTACTTTCTTACATGAAAAAGATAGAAAACATTAACAAATTTACATTTTTAATCTGTTTCCTTTTTAATTGGAGAACATAGTTTTAAATAACTATAATCATATTCTTGCTCTTGTTTTATTATTTCAATTGTAAACACGTCCAACTCAAATTGTAGGTTTATTAGACCTTTTATATCTAAATGATAATTAAAACTAATGGTATTAAATAAAAATCACGTCAGGTTTAATATTGGGCAGTCTACTATTGATTTTTTTTCTACCTACATACAATAACGTAAAAGTGGAAAACAAAGCCCGATAATTAATTATGACAGTAAAAGGTTTTTGTTTTATATATTCGATGGAAGGGTATAAAATTTGGTTTTTATATATTAACAAGATGAGCTTTTTTTATTCTGCAAATGTCAAAAATTGTTTGCTTCTTCACTTATTTGATTTTGTTATATGTTTTTGCTGCTTAAAATTTAATGTCAAGGTAGAATTCTAGTTGAATATTGCAACTAACATAAATTATATTTAAATTTGACACTACATTTTTTAACTACTAATAATAATAAAGTTTAAATCTAGTTGTAAGTTTTTATTGGATTTTACTTTGCAAGGCTTCACTGTTTAACTAATATCTTCAGTGTTTCAATGTTACAAATAAATACAAATTTATTAAATTACTTTTTTTGTTACTTTTTTAATTATACAGGATTATAACAATATCTTTTATTTTTAGCAATTGATTGAAAAAGCCTCTGAAGCTTTAAAGTGTAGCATTAATTTATGCAATTATTACAGAAAAAAGCATTCATTTTCTGAATCTTTGGGTAAAATAGTCAAAAAATCCAAATATGACCACTTATCCCCAGGTAAGGGTTTAAATAATATAGTACTTTTGCCATTTTCAAGCTTCAAAATGTAGTTGTATGTTTGTTAACTTAATAAATAGAGCAAGTTAAATTCATTAAATTTAATAATTTACAGTTGTCATAAGAATAATGTAATAATATTTTACATAAACTGAGAAACCTAAATTATCAAATTCAAAATTGAACTTTTTATTTAGAAATATTTAATTTAAGATTAAATTTATTTCTAGTTATGTAGTTTAAAATATTTTGTTGCAATTAAGAAAAATAAATTTATTAGCTGTTTTATATGTATGAATTAGTCAAATGACATTCCATTAACCTTTTCGGGACTCATGTGTTTCTCATTCTCATGTTTTTTTAAATATTTTAAGAGCTCTCTGGCTGGACACTCACTGCAAATTGCGCTGAGGTTGTCCACCATATTGTGTTTCTGATTTTTCACCTCTTGTCTGCCGAGTGCCTCAGTTTAGTTTTACATTTGCAGTAATTTTCGGAATATATTTTGTTATGTTGTAATTTTGTTTTTCTCCTTCCACATTCTTCATTCTATTGAAAACGATAATATCCGAGGAATGTACTGTCAAATTTTGAATGTTGGTGCACCCCAAAAGGAGTATACGTACTCTTCGAATTTCTATGCACAATGTAAAATAAATCAGGCTGAGAATATAGCCAGAGAGCGTTTTAGCACGGTAAAATCAGTCTCAAAAAGGTTAACTGGTCTTATTTATCGTGAATGCATGTATCAACGAGATGCTTTTTTTCTCCCCCTATCCCACCATTCTCTTGTATTCGCCAAGAAACATTTGTTTCAAATTTCAAACGTGTAAGATTACTCGTCAAAAAATGAAACATTTGTGGGTCATTTTTTCATTACTTATGGTGCATGTTGCAACTTGTTTTATGCGTTTTTACCTTCCCGTGTTTTGTTTTATTATTGCATTTTTTCAATCTAATGCTTTTGCTTGCCAACTGAACAAATCATTTTATTACATTTTTGCAACACACTCTTATTTTCTTACCAATTTTGTACAGTACTAGTAATGATATGCACATACTATTATATTTGTAACTTTTTGTTTTTAAATTCACTAATTTCGTGGTCCGCTTGACCAATTAATATATTACAATTAATTAAGGTTTTTAGTTGAGATAAAAAAGTCAATGGCACGAGCGGGATTCGAACCCACGATCTTCGGCTAGATACGCCGCTGCTCTACCACTTGAGCTATCGTGACGTCGATCCACTCGGACACTAACTTCCCATCTCAATCCCACCTTTTGAATTTTCCCTTCTTTTTGCCATTTTTCAATTTTTTTTCCGCTTGTGCCATTGACTTTTTTATCTCAACTAAAAACCTTAATTAATTGTAATATATTAATTGGTCAAGCGGACCATGAAATTAGTGAATTTAATGATTTAAAATGAAGTATATTTCACTAAAAGCTCTCCGAGGCCATTTCATTTGTCGTCGAGAATCCAATCCAATTACACGACATTTGAAAAATGGCAAAAAGGAGGGAAAATTCAAAAGGTGGGGTTGAGATGGGAAGTTTGTGTCCGAGTGGATCGAGGTCACGATAGCTCAAGTGGTAGAGCAGCGGCGTATCTAGCCGAAGATCGTGGGTTCGAATCCCGCTTGTGCCATTGACTTTTTTATCGCAACTAAAAATCTTAATTAATTGTAATTTTTGTTTTTATTTATTTTTTAAATTTTTAATAACAAGAATTATATAAATATTAGTGAGATGCTCAAGTCACCATACCACTCCTAGGACTGTAATTGAAAAATCATTCTTCACTTTTTAACCCCTCCCCCTTATGCAGTCAACATGACGAAGAAAAAATGTGGGTTTTTATCTGTCATTCTCTACATTTACATGTATTGTTCGTTCAGGCCAACTTTCTGATTTTGCACAACGAGTAGTATATTTAAACCTCAAAATTATTTTTTAACCCTGTTGATTGATGATTGTTGATTGATCATCAAAACTTGTAAATTTATCATGTCTTAGCTGAGCGTCAAATGAGTAACACAGCCATTATTGATAATTTACAAATTTGAATAATGAAATAACATTTTTACCACAGTGGCCAAGAAGTGTTTAATGCGTCTGATTCGTATTTGCCATATTAGATCAGTCCTGGGTTCGAATCCCGGCATGGCCTGTGACGTTTTATTTGAGAACAGTATGAAAAATGTATTGTAAAGTGGTTTGACCCCCGTCCGAGACACCCAAAATGTATTTGGACGTTAATCCCTCCTGTACATAGTAGTCGGCTTTGTTTTTAGAAAACGATATTTTATAGAACTAACTGTTGCTTATTGATTTGCGAAAATATTTTATTTTAAAGATTTTTTTTTCAAGATAGATATAATTATATCATTTTTAGTTCACTAATAGTTTTTTGCCATTGCAGAAGAAATCCATGCAGAATTATGCTATGCCGAATCACTTCTTTTAAAATCAATGTTGGCTTTCATTGAAGATGAAACATTAGTAAGCTTCATTAAAGCTGGCTTCAAAATTAGAACATGTTTTAACTCTTACAAGTAAGTACAACTTCCTAAATCTATGCAATTATTAAAATTTATGATTAATCACTTGAGCGTTGTCTTGCATTAATTTTTTTTTGTTTGTTTTTAACAGAGAGTGTAGTAACATAATGAAATCAAGAGACTGGTCAAATGAAAAACATCTCGTTCATTTTCAAAGTGGCGTGCACGTTGGAATCGGATCTTTCAATTTGGTAATTCCTCTTCAAAATCACTAACTATTATTTTGCCACCATTTTCTGTAATAAAATTTATTATCTAATTTTTTTTTAAATAATGTTCTTCCGAGTTGCAATTTGCATTCAAAACATTTTGACAGCAAGAATGTTGAATATAAATGCGCTTTATTTTTAAATAATTAACTGGTATAATTTAAAAAATTAAAAAATATCATTCATATTTATTTCGTTTAGAGTATAAAAAATTTGTTCACAGATGATTTCACTTTTACCTACCAGAATAATAAAGCTTCTTGAATTCATAGGATTTTCCGGAAGTAAGGTAGGGATTTTAATATAACATTATTTAACCCTTTGTCATGATGTTATAAATTGTAGGAAGTCGGGATAAATGAATTGACCGCTGGGTACAGATTGACTGAAGGTATACGTCAGGTATTATCCATCATGACCTTGCTGACTTATAACTTGATAGCAGTTTACGTGTTAAGTCATAATGACGGTGACCTTGATTTATGCGAAGAAATACTGCAACAACAACTTAAGGTGAGAATAACAAATTATTAGGTGAACTTGATTATCCCACAATCAATGTGATATTTGTGTATCACTTCCTTCAAGTGGTGGGTCAGACGGCATGTTATCTTGTCAGCTGTGTCTCTTCTGTGTTTGTAATGTGGTTAAAGGATACCAGGCCGACTTTATAAAACAACACAATTAACAAAATAACTCACAAACCAATACAGTAATAATTAACCTAAATGTGGTGGGGAAACATCTTCTGAGATCCCAATCAAGTGTGGGGTACCATAAGGTTCCATACTTGGCCCTCTCTCATTTTTAATATGCATTAATGATTTTACACTGACCGCTAAGGTTTTACATTTTTATCTGTGTGCTGACTACTTCTTAATCGTCGTGGGAAGCACTTCTGATGAATTACTGGAAAACTGGATAAAGTCATGGCTTGGGTTTTGTTAAACGATATTACTTCTCTTATCACATTCGTGCCACTAACTTTATCATCTCAACCAAGACCTTAGATAAATAGAATAATTAATTAAAATAGTTAATATGGTAAATTATGACCCTTAAACATATATAGATTTATATTATTTTGTTGTTCCTAAAATTTTAGTTAATTAAAAAAATGTAATTAATATTTTAGTTGTACCCAGATGGAGCTTGGTTTTTGTATTTCAAAGGTAGATTAGAATTCATGAAAGGAAATCTTGAAGAAGCAAATAACTGGTATATCAAATCATGGAAATCTCAGACCGTTTGGCCACAGTTTCATCATTTATGCTTTTGGGAGTTGATGTGGACAAACATGTAAAATAACGTTTAACTGTTTATAAATAACAGCATGGATTTAATCTATTGAACTTTCAGCATTGTTCAGAATTGGAAGGAAGCGACATTTTATGCTTCATCTTTATTAAAAGAAAGTAGATGGTCGAGGACTATATACGGATACCAAAGAGTATCTACTTTACTGATGATGGAAAAGAACACGCCCGAAGAAGAAAAGGAAATCAGTACATTGATTTTGTTAGTGTTTTTTTTCTTATTGTTTTATAAAATTATAAATATTAGAGAAACCTTCGACTTAAAGAAATTTCTCAAATTTCAGAAATATCCCTCAGTGGAGGCAGCGTTTCGCTGGAAAATCTCTTCCGATGGAAAAGTTTTGTGCTAGAAAGTGTGATAGGTACATTGCTCAGAAAAACTTCCTAGTTCTTCCCGCTATAGAATTATTATACGTCTGGAACTATTTCAAAATCCTTGGGAAAAAATGGGAATTATGCCAAAATGTGTACAAATTAGTGTTGAAATCATTGTCAGAGTTTGAGAATGGAAAGTGTGAGTGCTTTAAGTTATTTTATAAATTAAACATTTAATTAAATTCCTATCATTAATGTTTGTTGTTTTCGCAGATTCCGGAACAGAATTTGAATATGATAATAAATGTCTTCTATTACTTCTCAAAGGAGTTTGCCTATTCCAAATGAAAAGTCCTTTACAAGCAGAACAATGTTTAAAAACTCTTATAGGCTATGAAAAGAAAATAAAACAAGACCTTTATTTGGTCCCATTTGCTCTCGTAGAATTAGCTATCATCTATAACAGCATAGGATCTCTTCAAAAAGCTATTAGCGTTTTGGAAGATGTAAAGTAAGTATTTTTGCTTTTGTACATATATCATGTTCTATTATTTTGAGATTTTTGTTGAGTGTTTATCTCCATTCACCCTTATGATGGGTTGAGCCAGTATGACAAGAAAGGGACTGTTGTTTGGATCGACCAGTCCCAAAAAAATGGGACAAATTTAAAAATTTCCTAAGTGAACTAAAATAAATAAAATGAAAGATAAATACATCCCAAAAAATTTATAAGCAGGCGCTGAAGCTCTATGTGCTTAATGCATTCGGCGTATTATGCCGCTTAATATATATTAATTGAATATATTCAGAAATTGTGAAACGCTTAACTACTTTTTGTGTGGAAAGAAGATTGGGTTTAAAAACTTACTCCAAATGATGCTTGCCAACACCAGCTTCCACATTCTTCAGCCTTTTCCAGGATCTTCTTTCCACAGCTTACTGGATCCTCAAGTCGACTGTTCGACTTGACGCAATGACTAGGTCCTTGCTGGCTGTGTCCCCGACTGAAAATGGCTGCTTGAGTCCTCCTGGTTTTGGCCGACTGAGTCTGTCCCGTCTGCTGCTTCTGAGACACTCAATAGTCGACTCTTCAACTCATCTCAGCTCTAGGCAATGTCCTTTGACTGACCCTGTGAGCTACAAAATTTAATATCCCACACCTTGATGAACATTTCCACCCTAAATAACTTCTTGGGCTTCGTTATTTATTGGGGCTATTTATCTGGCGGGTTTCTATGACTTCCAGGCTTGTGGGAAACTGGGTTGGGTGACCCGACAGATTTACAGCCTTATTTCCAATATATGTTTGAAATTCCTTACAACTATTTTTAACTTGTTTTAACAACTATTATTGAGTTATGCTAAGATGGGTACCAGCTTATATTTTCAATAATTATTAATTAAGTGCATCCCAAAAACGCGACTGTCCAAAAGATAACACAGGAAAATTATCTATTTAACCTTAAAAGAAGCGTGGTATAGTTTAGAGCCCTTCTCCACTAACCAATGTCTTAGGAGCATGTAAAGGCCCTTGGCGCCTCCTCCGTTGCTCCTGCCTTCTGCCGAACAACTGTCCCTCAGGTGTCACCCCTAATCTACATCAATCCAGTGGGTGACAGCCTGGTCACCTTATCTTAACCTTTTTGGGATCAGTGATAAATTATCTTACTCGGGCTTGTATGCTCTCCATGTCCAAAGCCACTTGGCATATTGCCGTAATGGACAAATCTTTGACAAAGAATTTGTATGACTCTTAGTATGATTGCAGTAGCCAAGTGCAATTTATGCTACGCTAGCGGTTCTGTGTTCGAATCTTGGCATAGCTCATGGCTTTTTAAATTGATTGTAGTATGAAAAATACTGGGTGTCCCAGTTCCTTTTCACGAAACTCAGGGAATCGATTCTACTCTTCATTTGGAGCAAAAAATGCTCAGGAGAAAATTTTCAGAAAGTTTTCTATTTTGAAGATATTCGTCAATTTAGGTTTTTTCAACTTTTCACAACCTTACCACATAAAAACGCTTACAACTTCCAAAATGTTGAGACTACAACAAGTTCAATTACACCATTTGAAAGAACGCTAAATTTGCTGTAAGATACTTCATTGCAATAATCTGAATGGCATAAAATGTTAGCCAATATCAGTTGGAACATGTCAAAATTACAAAATTTAAAATTTTGGTCATGATTGCACGTTCTTCTGAGGTAACAAAAAAATACCTACAACTTGTCAAATTTTACAAAAACTTCTTCATCTAATATGCTTTACGTTGATATATCCAGGTTTTTAAATAACGTTCTAGTAGAGTTGAAAAATAGCAATTAAATGTTCGAAAACGTGAGCTAAATTCAAGACATTGTTATCTAAATTCAAGATGTTTCTACAAGCAACGAAAGATGATGTGAAGAAAAAACTTAATTGCTTACGAACCAATTACCGCAAGAAGCTAAAGAACAACCTTCATTCGATGAAGATCAGATGTCACTCAGTATTATTGCACAATAAAAGTATTGTGCAATGTTATTGTAGCTCTAGGGTCCACTTCTCATTCAATATTATTGCACAATAAAAGTATTGTACAATGTTATGGTAGCTCTAGAGTCCACTTGTGATTCAATACTATTGGACAATAAAAGAATTAAGTAAGTCTAGGGTCTGCCTTAGATAAATGTAATAAAAAAAATTAAAAAATCATTTACATTATTCTTAAGTATTTTATATGATTAAAACTGGTTCCGCCATGGGCAACCAAAACGGCCAAGCTTAGCACACAATCAAAGCCTTAAGGGTGAGTTTGTGGATATGCTACAATAATATAATTTATATCAAAAATATGTTTATTAACATAAAAAATGTAGCAGATTTTAATCATCTAATATGGATCTAGTAAAATAAGAAAAAAGTATATACAAAAAAAATTGACCTTTGCAGGTTCAAATAATCTGCAAAGTATCCAAATTCACTACGGCATAACCATCGATCATGTGATTTTATAAACACATATGACAAGAAATAAACAAACTTATGAAACAGTAATGTATTTTTAACAATATTAAAACTGATAAGTAAATTTCAATAAATACATACTTGTTTACTCCAATAGAAGGAAGAATAATATTATGTCAATATACACTAAAGGGCTCATCAAACAGCAATTAAATGTTCGAAAACATGAGCTAAGGTAAATTTAAAGGGGGGTAGAAATAAATCAATTAGAACTCGCTTTGTAAAATAAAAATGACACATCTGTAAGCTCACAAAAACCATACCAGAAAGCTTCATACAATAAAATGCAATAGTTCTTCTTGTAGCAAGCACCTAACAACGAGGACTTTTCAGAGGAAATGCCCAAAGTGTTTTCCTTTTCTTTTTACAAAGCGAGTTCTTATTGATTTATTTCTACCCCCCTTCAAATTTACCTTAGCTCACATTTTCTTGTTTCTTGTAGCTTCACATTTAATTGTTATTTTTCAACTCTACTAGAACGTTATTTAAAGGCCTGGATATATCAACGTAAAGCGTATTAGATGAAGAAGTTTTTGTAAAATTTGACAAGTTGTAGGTATTTTTTTGTTACCTCAGTAGAACGTGCAATCATGACCAAAATTTTAAATTTTGTAATTTTGACATGTTCCAACTGATATTGGCTAACATTTTATGTCATTCAGGTCATTGCAAAGAAGTATCTTACAGCAAATTTTGCGTTCTTTCAAATGGTGCAATTGGATTTGTTGTAGTCTCAACATTTTGGAAGTTTTTATGTGGTAAGGTAGTGAAATGTTGAAAAAACCTAAATTGACTAATATCTTCAAAAATTTTTCGTTTTCCAAAAATTTTCTCCTGAGCATTTTTTGCTCCAAACGAAGAGTAGAATCGATTCCCTGAGTTTCATCAAAAGGAACTGGGGCACTGTATATTGAAAAGTGTTTGACTCCTTGTCCATGACACCCAATGTGTAGTTGGATGTTACGCCCTCCTGTATGAAAGGAATTACTTTATTGCTCCCTGCGATGAGTTCACGTGTCCTAGTCATTTTTTGCCTTTTAGTATCCCTAACAGGGGTCGAAAGTTTTAACCAAAATGTACCAGACACCTCGGTAGTGAGTGGAGATCTCCCACACCTTCCTTTCCCATCCTCATCATCAACGAACCAATCTTTTCTCACCGTTCTGTTTACAATCTGACTATTCTCTCAAACTTTTGAGAAATTGTGGCACCTTTTTATGGAAAACAATTTGGCAAACAATTATTATTTTATAGTTGATTTTTATACTGTGTTCATTAAAAATTTATTTGAGATTGTGTTTTTGTCCTGCAGGAGGAATTATACAGGCTATTCACTGGAATCAAGACTTCATTTCAGAATCCATACCGCTTTGCTAGACTTTAATAGTAAAAAGTAGTTTGTTTATTTGTTTTGTTTTGTTAATTATTGTGAAGATTTTGGGACCAAAAATGGTTACTCCCTGATAATTTAGTGCAATGAATAAAAAAAATTATGTATATTACAAGATTGTATTGAAGTTTAAAAATTATGAATTTTATTTATTTTCTTAAAAATATGAATGTTGTATTAATAAATATTAAGAAGGATATTTATATAAGAAATTATCCAAAGAATACTGTTACTTACTCAATTTGCTACATTATGTACTTACAATTGTTTATCATTATATGTAGCAAAAAAAAACTATGCCAAAACATCATTTAGATATAATACAATATATTGTTTTAATAGTCTGTATGATTTCAAGTGTGGATCGTTGTATCACGCCTGAAATCCTTTATAAATAATCTAGGGAAGAATAATCTGCCGGGATTTTCCTATGGCCAGCCTCTCCGACAACGATGGAAGCCAGTATCTCCAAAAACTGCTGAAATATTATGTGAACAAAATAAAAAAAAATTCTAAATAAACAAGATGAAACTTGAATTTTAAGAGAGCTATAATATTACTATAAATTATAAGTAGAATACAAAAGAAACAATTACAAAAGAAAAATAAAAACATGTAGTACTTAAATCCGAAAATTTATTTTTGTTTTAATTAAGATAGTAATAACATGAAACAATATTTTTCAAAATTGTTAATATAGCATTTACAATAAAAATGAATAATCTGGCCAAATTTGGGAGAGTCGTATCCAAGACTAAACTAGAGCAAGGCTGGCATCTTGGAAATAGGATGTGAAAAATATACTATATTTTATAATTTATAATTAATTATGTGTTGTTAAAGTTTATTATTGAATATATGTGTTATAAAAAATGTAGTCTCTCATATATCCTCCTACTATAATCAAATCTAGGTCTGACCCAATCGGAATTTTTTAAAGGTTTACAAAACCAAACTATCAAATCTGAGTCAACATGTGCCCCGTGCCGACTGTACATTTTGGTGCAGTAGATGCCTGGGCTGCGCCCTCCAGTTTATACGTTTTACCCCCCCCCCACCATTTCACCGCTACACAATTCCATTCAAAATTCTTAGGGCAACATCAGAAAGGTCAAAAGTGTCACTGGATGATCATTTCAATTTTTTTTTAAACGAAGTGGTTTTTTTAATATTTATTCTTTGAAAACCACGTAATTTACCTTTTTTGTGCGTTTTGTTATTTTATTATTTACCGATTTTATAAGATTATGTAAAAATAAAAGAAAAATTTTGGTAGATAGTAGAGTTGCTCTGGCACTGTACAGGAAACAACTGTTGCATCATATAATTTATATCAGTTAGGCGGGCCCTAGATGATCAATATATTACGAATTGCGCAAGTTTTGATTGTTGAAGATTAGTTTTGAAGTTTGCTCAAGGATTGAACAAAAGTTTGAGCGAGATTAATTTTTATTGCGATATATTTTTTCATTGCACCATTTAAGGTTAATATTGCACACGGAATCGTTTAAAGGAGAGGTCAAAAGCAGTATTAAAGGTTCAGGGGTAAAGCAATGTAACAGGGGGTGAAATTTGTTCCAGGCGAGACTATTATGGACCCATGTGGTCGGTCCATAATTGTGATGATTCACAGTAAATAAGTTGTTGCGAATAATAATTAATTTGCCTCAATCATCACAAATGTCAATATGTTCTGGCAAAAATGGAAATTCAGAGTCAGGGAGGGAGAGAGAGAGGGGGGAGGGAAATATAGATAGATGTAGAAAAGTCTAGCTTTCGATGGAGAGGCATTTCTTGTGCCTATGTATTGACAAAATGGAGCACAAGCTGACAAAATTTAAAGAAAGGTAGTTCATCGTTGATTGCATACAATTATATAGAGAATTGCCTGCACTGTGGAATGTCAAAAGCAAGGATCATCATGATTGCGATAAAAAAAAGAACACTGCCTTTAAACATTGTTATCATAAATTCAAGATGTTTCTACAAGCAACGAAAGATGATGTGAAGAAAAAACTTAATTGCTTAAGAACCAATTACCGCAAGAAGCTAAAGAACAACCTTCATTCGATGAAGATCAGATGTCACTCAGTATTATTGCACAATCAAAGTATTGTACAATGTTATGGTAGCTCTAGGGTCCACATATCATTCAATATTATTGCACAATAAAAGTATTGTGCAATGTTATTGTAGTTCTAGGGTCCGCTTGCCACTCAATATTATTGCACAATAAAAGTATTGTGCAATGTTATTGTAGTTCTAGGGTCCGCTTGTCACTCAATATTATTGCACAATAAAAGTATTGTGCAATGTTATTGTAGTTCTAGGGTCTGCTTGTCATTCAATATTATTGCACAATTAAAGTATTATGCAATGTTATTGTAGTTCTAGGGTCCACTTCTCATTCAATATTATTGCACAATAAAAGTATTGGGAAATATAGTAAGCCTAGGGTCTGCCTTAGATAAATGTAATAAAAAAAATTAAAAAATCATTTACATTATGTTTATGTATTTTATATGATTAAAACTGGTTCCGCCATGGGCAACCAAAATGGCCAAGCTTAGCACACAATCAAAGTCTTAAGGGTGAGTTTGTGGATATGCTACAATAATATAATTTATATCAAAAATATGTTTATTAACATAAAAAATGTAACAGATTTTAATCACCTAATATGGATCTAGTAAAAGAAGAAGAAAGTTTATACAAAAAAAATTGGCCTTTGCAGGTTCAAATAACTGCAAAGTATCCAAACCCACTGCAGCATAACCATCGATCATGTGATTTTATAAACAGATATGACAAGAAATAATCAAACTTATGAAACAGTAATGTATTTTTAACAATATTAAAACTGATAAGTAAATTTCAATAAATACATACTTGTTTATTCCAATAGTAGGAAGAATAATATTATATCAATATACACACTAAAGGGCTCATCAAACAGCTGAAAAAAAAAATCATACAATAGGTTTTAACTTTAAAACAATTTACTAGTCAATATGACGTATGTATTATAAAAAAATATAGACAAAATCTCTAATATTAATCATTTTCTAACAATAAATATTCTAACACACTGCACCTAAATAATATAACTATTACTTAACAATCCTTATCTACATTAACAATGCTCAGTTCTTCATTATTGTAATTGTTTATTACTATATATTATTAGTTTTAAAAATTATATGAAACTAGTTTTTTACGTTTTCTTTTATTTAAGCAGGCAGTGTTTATTTTACATATCACAGTTTCAACATATAATTTTTAATCTAAATACCATAATCCATGGTAGATTATAATTTTATTTTTTAAATAAACAACAAAGATGACATATAACAATTTTAAAGGGGGAAAACTATTCTGTTTAAAAAACATAAATGCGTTCCACTATGAAAAAATCCCCTTTTTATTTAAGTTAAGACATTCAGACGAATCTAACGACTACTTTAACTAGTAAAAAATACTTTACAAAATAGACTAGTTTGTACTATAAATATGTATGATCATATAGCACCAACTACTTTTAAATTAGGTTGTATAGAGTTGAATTGAGAATAAGTTAGTGTCTAAAAGCCTACAAGCAACAAAAATTTCCTTCGGTCTATTTGTTATAAATTGTAATTATAATTATTACATCATCGTTAAAAATGTGACAAATGTATAAATAATTTTGTTTATTTATATATAACTTGCATTAAAAAAAAATTGAAACATCTCACTACTTTTGAAAATTTTAATTAGCATGGCTCAATGTTTCCATGAGGAGAAATATTTTTGATGAAATCCTTTCTACGAATAAATATCCTAAAAATAAAAATGGTAACGAGACAATAAATCCGATGGCTTCGAATATCAATTTAGGAGCGAAGATCTTCCAGACCATCAAATGCCGTGAATGTATGCAGGCAGAAAACATGCATATAAATACCTGAAACAATAAAATATGATTAATAAATGTGTATAATATGAATTGACACATTAAATTCATTAGAGAGAAAGGGCAAATTGAGTAAAATCAATTTTTAAGTTAACAAGTTGACCGCACCCTATGCTTGGCCAGTTTGGTTGCCCACGACAGAAACCATTTTATCATGTAAAATAGCCCTCTGGTACTTATAAATAATGTAAATGGTTTTTATTTTTATTACATTTATCTAAGTGATATAAATTATGTGACACAACAGTTGCATCCCCTACAGTACTAAATAAATTAAGTTGGCAACCTGCAGAACATCAGTTCAATTTGTATGTGTTGTAGAATAAAAGTCATTTCTACAACAATTTTTTCCTTTATTTTATACAATCATACAAAATGGGTAAATAATTAAAATAAAAAAACCTATTTTTACAACGTTCATAGTAGATACTATGAGCAATATAGACTTACAATTTTATGTAGCTCATTTTCGGCCAAAGGTATGGTTAGCCTAAAAGCGTTAAAGTATGCTGCTAATCTAACTTCGACAAAAATTTTTACTCGACAAATTTTTTAACCTCAGCACTGTAACTCAACTTCGAAAATTTTAACCATAACAACAGGTGGGATTATAGTTTAGTCAAAGTTGTTAGCAACGTTTTTACACAACGCAACAAGGAAAAAATAATGATATGCTTGGCTAAGGGACACATGAGCTTTAAAACATAATGAAAAAGATGTTTTAGCAAAGGAAGCTAAAGGTTCATTCCTAGAAACTCATCACGGCCAATAAAATTTTTCTAAAAGGAAAATGTCACAAAATGGCAATACATATACCAAGCAACTGAAGTGGTGAAGTATTATTGTGCACTTTTTCCTTGAGTTATCAAAAACCATAGTTACAAGGTGGAGGAAGAGCAAAAGCATTTTTCCTAATTCTAAAGTTCTCAAAAACTTGTTCAGAAAAATAAAAATATGGTAAATGATCAAATTAATTTATAATACAATGTAAACTGATTTAGGGACTGCAGTGGTTGAGTGGTTCGGGTGTTCAAATTAACAAATAAACCTTTATATAATGCATTGGTTGAGATAAAAAAGTCAGTGTCACGAGCGGGATTCCAACCCACGACCCTTGGCTAAATACGCCACTGCTCTACCACTTGAGCTGTCGTGAATTCGATTCACTCGGACACCAACTCTTCATCTCAACCTACAACCCTTTGAATTTTCTCTCCTTTTGGCCATTTTTCATTTTTTATCTCAACCAATACATTATATAAAAATTAATTAATTGAAAAACGTTATTCGGTCAATCGGACCACGAACTCTAATGAATTTAACAAATAAAATTGCAAGGTATGGGATTCGAACTCCCATGACAAATATAACTCACCACCTACGACTTGTCTTTCCCACCATTTAAATCTATGGACGGGACGGTTGGGGTATTTCCTAAATATCGTTAGATTTCTAACAATATGCACCGTTTCGGTAAAGCTCCATAGGCTCCTGAAAAAATTGGCTGTGACTTTCTTTCTTTTAATCAACTCTTTTAGCTTTTTAAAGGTAAAAATTGATTAATTTTATATTAAATAAGATTACAGAATTGACAGATGGAAAAGTCTCCAAAAGTTTAACAATTTTTCTCTTCAGCTGTTTTTCCTTTTTTAAATTTGTAATTTAAATATTCGATCAATTTAGTTATTAAAACAATAAATAATGGTAAATATAAAACTGTATTTCTATCTTTCCCCAATATCCATTTGTGTGATTGTAAGATTGTCAGACAACGTGTAGGGTATTTTTAAAATGGTAGGGTAGCTTATTTTCTAATTTTCTAGACCGGTGCATAGTACATGTAATATATCCAGCCGTTCGTTTTTTTTTTTTGTGTAAATTCTGCTAATTTTTGAAAATGGAGTCTTACTTGGAAGAGGTGTGTAATGAAGATGGTTAAAAATAGTACAAAAATATGACTTTTTGCCCCTTCTCAACGCTTCTCATGGCTTGCTTCTTCTTGTTCAATAGTTATTCATGATTGGACATGAAAAATTTAAACAGCTTGTGGATTGGACGTGATAAGAGTACCTGATATTTAGGAAATACCCCAACAGTCCTTTGTCCTGGTCATTTTCTTGAGGGAGTTAGGACAGAAGGACAAATCCTGGTCAAATTGTAGCAATAGGGCTAAGTATAGGGTAGGAAAATGACATGCTTCAACAGCCCAGGTTGTAGCACTGGTGACAGGTTACACTGTGCCCCCAGTGCTTCAAAGAATTCCATTCTTCAAAGATTAATTTTTGTTGAAAAATGGCAAAAAGGAGGGAAAATTCAAAAGGTGTGGTTGAGATGGGAAGTTAGTGTCCGAGTGGATCGAGGTCATGATAGCCAAGGGGTAGAGTAGCGGCGTATTTAGCTGAAGGTCGTGGGTTCGAATCCCGCTCGTGCCAGTGACTTTTTTATCTCAACTAAAAACCTTAATTAATTGTAAGATATTAATTTTGTAATAATTTTTTATGTAAATAGTTTGTTTTAATTTAACAAAAATATATTTATTGTAATTTTTTTAAAGAAATTTCAACCTGACAAAACAATTAATTGTCAAAGTTGCTGGGCTTTACGAAAATTGGAAACTAGGCGTGTGGGATGCATAAGTTGAACATCGCCTGAGGCGGCTCTGAAATGCTAATTTAGACTAAAGACAAAAATTTGAAAAATATTTTTACCATGTTTTATGATTAATATTAAGGCCATTTATGGGGGGAAAAATTATCGTTGCAGAGGGTCGACAGAGACAGGTGAAGAAAGACTTGAAGAATAATTATATTAATGTTGCATAATACTCACTCGAAATGCTTGTAATAATATGTACTTTGATGTAAGACTGAAGAGTTCTTGTTTTCTTATTTCTTCAAATTCATAAATGAGAAGTTCCCCTTTCTTCAAGTCTTCGTTTCCAGAAGCCAATTTCGGCCAAATGGCTATCATTGTAAACGGTGCGATGATCAACATTGGAAGCAACAGTGCGTGAATTATTTGGGATATAAAGGTGTTCAGAGTTACTAAAATTCCAGGAACGACTGTCGAGGTTATGTCTCCAAAAATCCCAGCCGAATTCCAATGTATCGAAGGGAATGATGCCTGATGTCCGGTAGCATAAAAGAAATGAACGCTAGATAAACTCCAACAAAGTACAGACCACCAGGGTACAGCTATCAAATTCCCTGTAATTTGAATTTAAAATTTAAATTAAATTTGAATCAAACAAACGATTATTTTTCTTACCTATATTTTTAGACTTTTCCAGTTTCATAATCGCCATAATTACTGACAACAAAACAAGACTCAGAATCATTATTACAGTTACGATAGCAAGTGTTTCTCCTAAAAGAATCGCTGACATAAGACCGATGAACACAGATATGTTGACAAATGTGGCGCTATAGACTGTTGCGAGACCGTAGACGACGGGATAATCTTCATTCTGCCCAGGCATCATTATATTTTTCAGTTTGTTAAACAGCGTAGGGATCATGTCGCCTTGAGTAAATTGGTGTTTGTTCGACGTTGAAAATATGCAAAGGGGAGAAATAAAAAGGATAATCAACGCTAAAACAGACGTGAAAAATACTATCTGTGGGAAAAGTTGCAACTGCCATGGCAAAAAGAGTTTGGGTTTAATCTTGTGAGGCAACGAATTCAGCAACCAATAACAACCACAACAAACAATACTGATTGAAGGAAAATAACGAGAAATAAATATCGGCGGAGACCATCCGACTAAATTGCCAATGTTACGTAGGCACATTCGAGTAACTGCTGTGAACAGAGAGAACGACAATATCGTCAAAACACACAGAAGTGTTTTTGACGCTTTCTTTTCCATTGTACAATATCTCGCCTGTTCCTCTCTACAATGCCAGTAGTAATAAGAAACCCGTATTAAAATGTTTAGAAGGACAGTTAATACTATTATCCTCACTTCAAAAGATTGGGAAGAAAACTTGAAATTCATGTTTTCTATTTGTTTGCCAATAATCTTCTTGACATTGTTAATTTTTGTGTCAAAAATAGATATCCAAATAATAGTAATAAGCAGATACGGTGCGACATAATTTTCATCTATAATGTAGCTATTTGAAAACATAGCGAAAGATCCGACTAACATAATCAACCGAGATATGATATTCAAAGGTTCTTTGACCTTGCTTGACTTGTACCATTTATCGGTTATAGAACTCCAGTTTATAATAACAACCAATGCAAGTACGACAATACATGACAAACAAGTGGAAAAATACAACGTCAACTCCAAATTCGACACAAAAGAGTAATAATAAAGAGGGAGTGAAATTAAATTAGAAATAAGCGTCGACATTAAACAGATCCAAACAAAATTTCCTTTGATAATGTAAACCAAGTCTATGTCTGAAATGCCATCGGAAGTTATGAAAAACAACGACAAGGTCAAGAACATTGACACAAGTCCCCTGGTCATAGAAAAGGTGTCGAATTGAACCCACTCATGGCGACACATCGTTTGCGTTATTTCTAAGTATTCCCTTGCATCTTTCATAAACGTTTCAAAGTTAAAATTTTGATTATCGTCTCCCAACATCTGCGACTTGACACGTTTATAACGTTCTTTTAAATCCTGCATCACAGCATCGTCGAATGTCTTATGAACCGATGCAAGCTGATTCATATATTTTGTAACTTGAACAACATTGGCCCATATACTGAGTACTGAAGGATTCTTCCGAGAATTGACATTATTTGTACTATTTTTGGTCAAAAGAGATGATGATAAAAGTGACGTTCCCAAGTTGGAGAAAGGAATAGGAATGCCCAATAGTTGGGCAAAAGTAGGAACGAAATCTATCTGGGGGATTTCATCCAGTTCAATAAACCTGGATAATATGTGCTTATGTTTTGAAAATACAAACAATGCTGATGTGATTTCAAGTTCGCTATCACCTCCATGATCACCTGTAAAAAATATATATATTATTATAAGTAGAAGAAGAAGAAAAATAACTTTATTCTGGGACTGGTGTCCCTTAAGAATAATTTACATGATATAAATAAAGGAAGTTCCTTCTATGAAATTAAAAGTAAAAAAAGATAGAAATCTTGGCACAATGTATACCAGTAAGGCAGGCCAGGAGAGAAAATTACGAGAATATTAAACAAAAATATCAAATATTAACGTAAGGTCTCTGCTTGGAGGGAGAGGAGGTGATTATGCAGGTGGGATTTCCAGAGTTTAGGGGCTCGGATCGAAAGGATCTTTCGAAGGTATGGGTTGTATGTTGTGGAAGGATAAGATCGACTGGGGATGAGTGGTTGTTACGAGTGTGATGTGAGGAGTTGAATTGGAGGGGTTGGGTGATATAAGGAGGACGACGAGTGTGGATGGACTGGAAAAGAAAGCAACCTAGGAAATACTGTGCACGGAAGGAGGGGAATAGACAGGAAAGTTGGGAACCCCGACACCTGGGATCCTCGTGGGGTGCTGCACACAAATCTTACGCAACAATTCATAATACGCTTCAATCGCGCGTTCCCCCCTCAGAGAGACCACCGTATGCCACACAGCGATAATCGAAGAAGGGAAGTATAAGGGAAGATACAAGGAGTTTGCAGGTGGAGCCAGGACCGACGAAACAGGCTGAGGGAGGCAATGCAATGGCAGGAAATTTGGGAAATGTGAGAATGCCAGGAAAGGTTTTGGTCAAAGACTACTCCTAGGTTTTTAACCGAGGAGCAGAAGGGAATGGGATGGTTATTTAGCATGAGACGTGGGATACTGGGGAGGGAATTGAGGAGTGCCTGGACCCGATTATTATGGCGGTGAATTTGGACGGATTGAGGACTAGAATTTTTATGTGCCCATTCATTGATGAAGTTTAAGTCTTTTTGGATCTCGTGAATGGCCAAGTGAAGATCGGAAGGGTGGAAGGATATGAATATTTGGGAGTCATCGAGATATAGGTGATAGTTACAAGACTGGATAGAGTCGGGCAGGTTGGTGATATAAATGGAAAAAAGGATAGGAGAGATGTTAGAGCCTTGGGGCACCCCAGATTTTAGAGGGAGGAAGGAGGAGGTAAGGCCATTGGGGAGGGAGACAGCTTGGTGGCGATTGGTAACGTAGGAGTGGCCCATGGTTAAGCCCCCAAGCTTTATGTATTTTGCATCATACACCGAAATTTTAAGCGTTCACTTCACTCCTTTTGCGGTTCACCAATTCCGTTCAAAATTTGACAGTACATTCCTCAGCTATCATAGTTGTCAACATAATTAAGTAAATGTAAGGAGAAAATGAAGTTCCAACAAAACAAAATATATTTCGAAAATTACTGTGAATCTAAACAATGCAAAACTAAATCTGAGGGCACTTGGCAAGAGGCGAAAAATCAGAATGCCAATTGAGTAGATGATAGGAAAGGGTATTGGGTTGGGAAGAGCAGAGGCAAAACATAGACGAAAGTATGATATTCCCAATGAGACAGAGGTATTGTCGTCAAACGGTTTTCCCCAAAAATTATTTTGTCATAATTTTGCAAAATGTTGAGAGAGAGGACAATTTGTGAACAGAATGGAGGAGAAGAGTTCACTGATGATAAGGAAGAGTGTGGGGTATCTGCTGCACCTTGAATACATAAGCCCAGCAGATGCCATGAGTGTCGAGTTAGAGATTTTAAAATGCAAAAGAACATGAGAACGTAATAACTCATCACAAAGTCTGGGAAGCATATAAGCCCCATGAGACAACTCAACACTGGGCCTGGCCTGGGGGATGTACAAGTCTGAATGAGATAACTTGTAACTGGGCCTCTACGCCCAAACAAAATAACTCGTCACAAGTCCCAAAAAGTTAATGCATAAAAAGGTTCCTGATTAATAAAACCTGTATGTATTTCTACATTAATCAAAAAAGCATATGCACTATAAATATGTAAGTAAAGTATATGCATTTGACTGACCACCAGTACATTGCAAGTGAAATTTTCATTTAATTATCTTTGTATCTTAAAAAGTAAAGAAAAAAAATTCAATGTCAATACTTACCACTTTCTGTCATGCCATGGTCACCAATTACAAAAAGGACGGTTTTATCGTCCATCATCTCCATGACAGATCTGTAAGAACAAAAAAATTTTTCTTAACCAGAAAAACTGTTTTATCATAATGGAATTTAAATCTTGATCCTTCTACGATAAGGAGTGCTAACAAATGAAAAGGATTTTTTGGATATCTAGGATTTTTTTTTAAATGTATTTTTCAAGAAATCCCAGAAATTCAAGCTTTTTTTTAAATGAACTGAAATAGATATATTAAAATAAATTTTCATCCAATAGTCACTTGAATTTCACAAAAATCAAAATCCGTGGCATTTTCTAAATTTGGCCAATACTTTTGATCACCCAAAAAGATTATTTTGAAGAGAAAAAATGTGACTGTAGCACAATTGCCCCTGAAGATTCTGGTCTTCTTATATTTTTAATAGTTTTATGACAGGCACATTTCATCAAAATCGGACAATGGAGGAGGGTGTTTTCTTTTCAAAAGAGAGACATACTGCCAAGAGGAGGAAATACCCCATAGAGCCTTGAGGGGGTTTGCGAAAAGGTGGGTACTACCAAAAGTCATTAATCAGTCGGTAGTTGAGTGATGTTAAGTTGACACTGTCAGTTGGTGAAAAATCAGTTACAGTTTACAGTTGGTCACTGGTCTGTTGGTAGCTGAGTGGAGTTGAGTTTACACAGGCCAGTTGGTTACGAGTCAATTACAGTTTACAGTTTGCCACTGGTTAGTGCGCATTGTTGAGTTAGAAGTTGGATTTTGAACATGATACTTGGTTGCACAATGGAGACAAGTGGGGCTTGACATTTGTTAGATTTTTATGGGGTGAGTGATTTTTGGAGGTGGAGTTTTTAATTTCGGCTTAGATACCTCCTTTCTAGATTGTAAGATCAAGGAAGTGATCCAATGAACAAAACTGTATATTTTGCCTTTCCCATAGCACTACAATAGGTAAATTATTAACAGTATTACCACATAATGCAATAAAAAAAATTACAATACTAACGTACAATTTATGAAAGAAATTATTTTTAAAAAAATATAAGGGATCTGGAGTCCCAGTGTGTATGTACGTATATATTTGTTTATTTGTGTATATAGTTATTTGTTTGTGTATGTAATTGTTTGTTTTGAAGGCAGATATGACTTGTCGGTAGCCTCCCATTGAAAAAAAAAAAAAAATTATTTACATAAAAGCTTGGCAAACTTATAAAAGTTTTGTTCATTGTAGCACATCCCTGATCCACTTTTTCAATTAACTGCTGGTCGATCACTACAACCTTAATGATTGAAATGTGAAGGCCCAGACTTGGATTACTTTTTTAATCACCTTGATGACAGATTCAGAGGAAAAGTCGTGAATGATCGACTCTCCGAGATATATCTCTCTGTTGCCCTCGATTTATTTACTAGATATTTTAAATTCTATATCAATATTTTGGTAATTGCCTATCATTCTGGTCAGCCTATCCTTCCTGCCTGTCAGACATTTGGACTTTTCACCAATCGTCAGCTTAGTCCTTTTGTAAATTTGTGAAAGGTCCTAAATGATCAGAAACGACCGTGAAATGAACTTTCATACTATATCTATGTTTATGTTTATATTGGGAGTTATACCTAATGGCATTATCCATTTGGACAAGTTTCCTTTCCATTTCGGGATGGTTCGGTCCGTACTTGTGCCCACAGTGATCAACGCCGAGGAAGTGAGCGATGATCAGATCCCAGTCTTTCTTGTTTATTTCGGATCCGAGGTGTTCTTCGACGCCCGTATCAACAGTGTCGAGGTCCCAGACGTTGAAAGACGGATAAGCGTACTGGCGTAGGAACCTGTTCGGGTATACGTTGACCCACGTATCGTCTCCCATGAAGACGACATTTTTGTTTCTGGACAACGCACCGTCTATGATGTTGTCCTCGTTTATCTCTCCTGAGGCGAAGTTGGACCCGATGTCTATGAACGTGGGCAGGCTGCCGGTCGTCAAGGCGTTGATCCGCTGGAGGGTCGTCGTTGGAGGATCAGCGATAAATTTATACAGGACGCCTTTCGATCCGTCAATCGCTTCGTTGATGGACTTCATCTTATTGCGGTATGGAAGAAATCCAACTTCGTCCCTTTCACCTCCAGGGGACTTGACGAAGTCATATCTCAGAGCGTCGATTAATACGACTATTGCTTTCAAATCTCGATTTCCCAAACAGTAGGTGGTCGATAGGTTAAAATTAAAGCCACCCTTACCTAGGTCCTCGACAAAAAGACTTTTCTCACAACTGGACTTGTCTGGAAGTATATTTCGGTTCAGAAGGAAACCCCTCGTGAACAGTATCAAAGCCGATATGAGGATATAACAGAGCCAAACCAATATTGAGACATATTTGAACGTTATCGACATTTTAAAATAAACGGAGCCAAGAGAAATACATTATAACAAAACCAGTTCACTTTTTTTAAACACCGGTTGTACGAAATGCAGGCGACGGTCTAACCTTCGCAGCAGGAAACCTTTCCGTCCTAACAAACACTGCATGCTGGCCCAAGCCCAACGACCGATGACAGGCCCTTTTATATTTTTATTTATTTATTGCAGCCACTTCGTTTTTTTATATGTACAAAATGTAGAAAAATAACAGTTTACAAAGTTAACTAAAATTTACAATAAAATAATACTACATAAAATATACAACAAAAGAAAAGTGCATGTATAAAATTTATAAGGAATAATAATTCAAATAATGACATGATAATATAAAAATAAAATTAATTATAATTAAAATATAATAATATATGAAATTATCGACCAAATTGTTTTGATATAAGTAACATTAACAATAATAAAAAATAAATCAATATCACATTAATATAATAAAATACTTGAATGTAACTAAAGCGACCCATAGACGATCAATATTATTGCACAATATTTTGGATTGTGCAATTTAATTGATCGAGTGTAGACGATATTGAAAGTTTGTGCAATACATTGCATGATTGACGAAAAGTTGAAAAAATATTGTACAACCTGGAAAATATTGCACAGTCAGTTGGCATTATTGTGCAATATCAGTCAGTTTGTGAACTACAACAAGTAGTAACAAAATATTGCACAAATTTCAATATCGCCTTCAAACTATTCAAGTTCATTGCACAAACAAAATTTTGTACAATATTATTGAACGTCGGTGGCCGCAACGGTTAAGGCATTGAGACAGCGCTCATCACTGTAAGGTAAAGTCCTTGGTTCGAATCCACTAGCCATGCATTTGAACTCGACATTCTTACAAATCAATTAATTAAGGTTTTTAGTTGAGATGAAAAAATGAAAATTCTTACAAATGAGCTTTTTTCAAAAACACCGACACCCTGAGAGTTGATATGACCTCTGCTGTTGAGAACCCTTGAAAAAAAAAATAGAAAGAGAAAGATACTTTTATTTACAGTAATAATAATTACAAAAATAGAAGGTTTTTAATTCTTAAGGAATGTGTGGAATATATCATATATAATGACTAGAATTTGGATTGGATATATGCTCAAATCAGCACATGTATGTACATACATACAAACATGTGCCGAGTTGAGCCAATTCACATCTCATAGTGTACACACAATTCCAGCGTTTGCTATTACAGTAAACTGCTGGTAGGCTGGAGAAGTAATCACCCCCAGTGAAATGACTGGAATATAAGGAAAGGTAGTGAGTGACTAGAGCAGGGCTTCCCAGACTTCAAACTTCAAGAAAAATTAAATTAAAAACTAATAAGAATGAGCACTGAAAACAAAAGTTTTTTTATTATATAGCAGTCATTGTGTTATCCACAGACGTGCTTTAGCTATGAAACAAATGCTGGCCTCTTTTAAGAAAGTTTTAGATGAGTCTGTTCAAATTATTAATTATATCAAGTCATGCCATTAAAGTCAAGACTTTTCACAATACTATGTGACCGTATGGGAAGTCTTCATCATTCTCTGCTTCTCCATACAGAAGTGAGGTGGCTGACTTGTGGGAAAGCACTTTCATGATTACAGGTACGTTCTGAAGATAACCCTGTAGATGGACCACAATGTCAAATTGGAGATGATTATTTTCTTTGCATGGGAAGAGCATCCCAACTTTCAATCCTAATGACAAAGTTCTCGAATTCAAAATAAAAATCCAGTTCTGGGTTGAATCTGTTGAGAAGAAGTTGAGAGGTGGAGTGTTTTCCTATATTATCTTATATCTGGTTTNTTGACTACTTGTTTACGACCTGACAAATAAAAGGATATTAATTTAGAATTAGAGGACGAAAAAACCGAACAAATTTACAAGTTTCCAAATAAGTAAGTCATGATTTACCATCCCAAAAGCACTGGAAAGTCAAGCATTTAGTAGGCTGATTCACAGCTAAGTTGATGTCAAAAACCAGACTTAAAAGTTGAAAGCAGTGAATGAGTATCAAGAAAGTTATTAATTTGTTTAAACATAAAGATATATAAAGCTTTAGATATCAAGGGTAGAATACTTATAGATCAAAAAAAAATTGGGGATGACGGTCATGAAACTTTAAGGATGGAAGGGTAAAAGAACAGCTTTTTTCCTCACAGAGGAAAAAGTTGATGAAATTAAGGAGAAATTAAAAATATGTGTTATATATATAATGGTGAATGAGAGGAAGAGCAAAATTATTTTAATAGAAATTTCATCAGATCCAGTAGCATTTGACTTAATAGAAAAAAATGCTTCTGACAACAATTTCATTAACATTGCTAAAACAAAATGTTGGGATTGTTATTGAGGGATAACGAGAAGGAGGTGAAAAATTATTGGACTTATACATAGGCAGTAAGGGAAGGATAGGGTGATTCACAAAAAGATCAAAAAGATGATTCACGATTCTGTTATGTTAGATCGAGAAAAATGATGACGTATACTTGTAAGAATCGACTAGTTAACATTGCTCAGTCTAAAGGGGAAGGGCCAATGTTAGATATGGGTGGCTGTTTCTTCCTCCTCATTCTGTAAATGAGATCATAGTTACATATGCCCATGTTATGTAGATGTTTTCTCAGGTGCCAGTGACAGGTTAATAATCCTATCACTCATCTCCAACTGCAGCAGTGAGTTTGCCTGCCTTGGTGAGGGTTGTTTTAGCATATGTTTACTGAGTCTGGCACCCCTAGAGTATATCCAGTTCTCCTTTTGTTTTATTTGGATCCATTCTGTGACGGAGGATTTTGTATTTGGTTTGTTATCCCAAGTATAGGTTCAGGGCCTATGTATGGTTTTGCAGATCTCTGGCCAGTGTATCTGCTTTTTTGTTACCCAAATTCCTTTGTGCCATGGCACCCAAGTTATCATCAGGTTGTTGTGTTTCCCCAGGTTTTGTAGATTTTGGATACATTCACTGACTAATTTTGATGTATTTTTTTTTACACGCTAATGCTTAAGATCTTATGAGGATTTTGTTGTCAGTGTAACCTCTTTTAAGATTTTCTAGGGCACAAGCATTGATGTCATGTATTCCTGCTTGAAAGGTCTTCCCTAATGGGTTCAATAGCTCATGTTTTGGGCTTATACAGAAAATGCCTGATCCAGTTCCTTCATTTATTTTGGGACCATCTGTATACCATATCATTGTATCTGATGCTCTCCTGAGTTCTTACACTCCTTTATAGTCTGTTGAGAGGATGCTGTAAAGAATATTTCCAGGATCATGTAGTCAGTCCCCATTTCTAAGAATGAGTGTCTGATTTTGTTAATTATGATTGTGTGCCTGAATTGTTTAGTTTCCATCCAATTTATTGCTTTTGCAGCCTAAAAGAGCTTTTCCTAGCTTCTACTTGCATGAATGTTTCCAGTGAAGGTAGGTTTAGCAGAGTTTCTAGTGTACTTGTAGGGGTTGTTCTCATTACCCCTGTGATACATAGGTTTGCTAATATTTGTATGCTGCCTAGTGTTTGGGTAGCTACTTTCTATTGAGCTTTGGTCTGCCAGATTAACAATCCAAAGGTTATTTTGGGNGGATTATATTGATATTTCAGTTTAAAGTGTAAGATGTATCGAGTGTTTACATCGAAATACTACACCTCTTAATCAAATATATTACAATTATTTATGTAATTCAAAAAATAATATGGAAACTGTGAAATAACTGTTTTTTAAGATATCAAAGTTATCTTTTAGGTAAGACTTTAATACTTTAAAAACTAAAATGTTGCCTATCATTTTACCATTTTTTAATTTTATATTACAGCATAATTATTTTATGGAATTTAGGAACGGGGAAAAATACATCTTAAATGTATTAAAACATTAAAGGAAAGGAATTAGCATTTATTTCCAAATAATTGATACAATTATTGCTTAAAACAATAAACTTAATTCTTTGGAGGTTGGTTGGCTCCAAAACTATCCATGTCTGATATACATCCTCCCAACAAATAAACTTAATACATACTTTTCATTTTTAATCAATAAAACAACGACTTAATGGGTATTTAATGTTAAGACTAAAAATATAGCTCAGTTTATTTTAGTAATATTTCATACCCGCTCAAAACTTTGTTAAAATGTTATGCCATTTATCACATATGTCATTTATCCTTAGTTAACGTTTTTATGCCTCTATTCGTGACTTACATTAAGTATTTTAGTTTCGACTAGTAATTAGCTAACTACAAAATTCATAACCTGAACGTAATGTTCAGGATTTTAATTTTTTTAAAATTTTGATATAAAAAGAAAATGAAAAGCACTTTTTTAAAAATAATAATATATCTACTGTTGTAAATGAGGATATAACAATTTTTAAGATGGAAAGCTTGCCACTGTCATTCTTCTCTATTTCTTGTACTCAGGACAATGTATATTCAGATTTAAGTACATTTAGTTGTACTTATTGTACTGAAAAACCAACAATACTGATAAATTACAATAAATTATTTTGTAAATACTGTTCTAATTTAACGAAAACATTCTACAGGACGAATCAAAATGTCTTTAAATTGGATTTATTTTAAATGTCAGACAAGATTGTTACAAATTGTTACTACTATTTTTGTGCTGTAGGCTTAACTTATTAGAACTCAATTGGTTTAACCTGATTTCAGTTGTAAATGTGTGGTTTTCTCTTGTTTTATTTTGTGTTTGCCTTTGTTTTCTAATATTGAAAACGCCATACACTATTGGATTTATACTGGAATTAGTGCATGCGAATAAAAACAGGCCCTTTTGAATTTTAAGGTTGATCTTTTTTGCAGATTCTTTGTCTATCCAGTACCTAGAAAAATAATCAAAACACATTTTTAATTAAAGGGATAATATTTGCTTTCTACTATTAGTATTTAATATTATTCGTAGCCATTATTTATCTGGATTATATTGATATTTCAGTTTAAAGTGTAAGCTGTATCAACCAGTTTTTTACTCAATCTGGATCTCTGTTTGGTCTGGATAAAAGAAAAATTAAATTGCTATCTGTCATGCTTTTGTACTATTTTAAGTTCATCAACAGGGCAAGACATTCTTAAAGATGTCTACAATTTGTCATCATTAATTTTTTAATAAGCGGTTTTAAATTTCTTTAAACATAGAATTCCAAGGACTGTAACAACCGTCTTTGGAGCCACTTATTGGGGGGGTCACTTGCGGGTTTGTCAGCTACACCAATACTGGTTTAGCATGAATTCACCGACTTGAAGACCAACACCCAACATCAAGACACAGTATTTTCTTAGGAAGCCAATGTTCTAACGTCGAACTTTCTCTGAGAAAAAAATCGGTACAGTCCTTCGCATATGTCTGGACTCAGTCTATATTCAAAGAAATTTGAAACCATTTATTAAAAATTTAATTATGTCAATTTGTAGAAATATTTATGATTGTTTTCCCCTCATTATGACCTTAAAATAGGTCAAAAGCTTGACAGATAATAATTGTACTTGTTTTTTTTCTCCATCCAATTGACCATACTGAGGGCTATATGATTCATGGTTATATCGATCTTATTTTTGTAAAGTATTTTATGTAACTGTCATCACATTGATTATGCTGATTTAACTGGTCTGCTTATTTCTGTTGAATGCTTTGGTCAGACTGGGAGAACAACTACTGCAGAACATATATTTGTTCTACAGTGTAGAAATGACAATTATTGCAATTATATTTTTTTAAATATCATTCTTAATGTCTTTAATTTGTAAAATATGAATCTTACCAAAAAGCCATAATATAATAAGGAGTCCAACATATAAAAAATGTTAAAATTATTGTTATGGTCATTTTTAAAGTTCGAGTTTTAGCTTTTCCTAGGAAGCCAATGTTTGAACGTCGAAATTTTTCTGAAACAAAACAGTTAAATTTGCACATGTTTTTTAATATTTTTTTTAAATATAAAAAAGTGGGTTTGACTTCGCCGAGGAATATTGAGTGCTTATGGGGGAGTGAATATGACCAGACTTCTATGTTTATATCGGGTGTTGTGTTTATGTTAATTTATTNATTAATTGTAATGTATTAATTGGTCAAGCGGACCACGAAATTAGTGAATTTATTCAAACAAATTACCTACAATATTTCTATGCTCTTTTATTATGTCCCAATTAAATTTGTTTAACACATTGCATGCAAATAATATTCTATCATTAAACATCATTCAAATATAAGTGAACACTTTCATTATCTGTCATAAAAACAGTTTTATTAAAATTGAAGCATATAAACAAATGATTTAGGTACCTGCGTTAGGTTCCCTCGTTCGCCTACATATTTCAGCCAATATTGAACCGTAGCAGTATGTTAAGATGAGAAATGGAAATATATACATCATAACTGTTCCAAATACTGAATACGTGACATCGTGATTTACATTAGAATACGAGTCCATGGTTATGCACTGCTCATACCATGTTATATTTGGATGCCTTTTGACGCTGAACACTACCATCTATAAAAGGACTATTAATACTTTAACCGTATAAAAATAAAATAAAATAAAATAACATTTATAAAACATTTTAAAGAACTAAAGTTCATTCAATTTAGTTGTTTTATTTATTATTATACATCATTTCTACCGTACCTGAGGTATGCTACATAATGCAGAAGCAAGCCATGCTGATGATATTATCATTTTCCCTCTTTTGTCGGCAGCAGATAATTGAAGGGGCTTTAAAACAGCATAGTATCTAACATATAATATTTTGTAATTTTTTGTTTAATTCAAAACATAACTTTAAACATTACTATTAATTTTAAAGTTGTTTTATTAAAAACATAGAATTTTTAAGACTAAACTGCCTTATTTAAATTTGTTGGTTTGTGTTCGAAAACATTTCCATGTGGTTTTTTTACATAAAAAAGTAAATACATTATTTATTTACATTGGTCATGTTGCCTGTCAATGCAAGATGGTCATATCTTTTAAAATACAGTATGGATATTAAAAAAAATATATATAAATTTAAAAAATATAAGATGCTATGATGGGTGTAAATTCCTGAAATGTCCAAATAAATGTAAATAAGTAATGTATTTACTTTTTTATTTAAACACACACACGGAAATTTTTTCTCACATAAACAAACATATTATTATTAATAATAGTATAGGTAATTTCAGTTTTTTTTTTCTTTAACTGGTTGCAGTTTGTTTTAGAGGAAATATTTATGTAATTATTCTCATGGTATAATTGGTTAATTGTTAAATATTTTGTTTAGATCTGTGATGTGATATAATGAATCATTTTCAATCATCTTGGCATGATGATCAGAGATGACGAAAGTAGTTAACATTTTTAAATGAGTGGCTAATAACAGCGATTTGCGTTGGATGCAAATAACTTGCATATTGAAAAAATAATAAAGCAATAAATACATTCAAAGACAAAAACCGGACACTAGTATTTTGTTGTTTATTTCAAACCATAAATATTTTTATTATAATATTAATTATTAACATATTACAATTAAATTCACTAATTTCGTGGTCCGCTTGACCAATTAATATATTACAATTAATTAAGGTTTTTAGTGGCAAAAAGGAGGGAAAATTGAAAGAGTTGAGATGGGAAGTTAGTGTCTGAGTGGATCGATGTCACGATAGCTTAAGTGGTAGAGCAGCGGCGTATTTAGCCGAAGGTCGTGGGTTCGAAACCCGCTCGTGCCATTGACTTTTTTATCTTAATTAATTGTAATATATTACAATTATTTGACATATTTATTTTAATATAAATCAAATTAAACAAGATCCGAAATTTATGACTTTAAATTAAAAAAAAAAAAATTATGATAGTTTGAAAGAAAATTCATCAAAAAGTTAAAACAAGTCCAAAAAAAAAAAAAAAGCCGTGTCATGGCTTAGCTCCATACAGAGAGCGTGTAGGCATGCTGCTGGATTTAAGAAGAGTTCTCGAACACGGTAGCGAGTTTCAGAGTCCCCTGTTCTGCTTCTTAGGGGAATTGGGAATTTTTTTATTGCATTTAGCCTACAAAATATGTGTTTTGTGTTTATGTGTCTTGTATGAGTGAATGTATTTATTGGTGTGAATGGGGAGGGGCTGATGGCGAAGCAGCTTCTCCATCGCCTCTCATGTTGTATGTATAACCCCAATCTAGGTTAGTTTATTATAGGGAATAGGTAGGTGGAGGAATATCGAGTACTCCATCTACCAAACAGTATGAGTGCAATCAATGTATATAGGTATGAATGTATTTATTGGTGTGATTGTATGGCGAGTGTGTTAAGTTAGTGCTTCGGGGCTGATATGACTAAGGTGTCAGATGCCCCTGTCAAAAAAAAGTTACTTTAAAACTGAACTAACAATTTATTACCTAGATTTGCCCTTAGTAAAGCATATTACCTCCTCTGGCCTCATAGAGGGATGTATGTCTCCTAAGCATTGAGTAAATAAGCGACAGAGAATCAGAAGCCAATTCGTCAACAAGAGCTGTTTGGAGATGCTCAACGCTTGTTGGAGTTGGCAAATGATGTCTAATTCGCCTCTTTATGATTTCCCATAAGTGTTCATTCATGTTAGGAGAAGTACTGGCTAATTCATTGCGGTAATCCCTGCATTATCCGAGTAAGGGCTGGCCTTTTGAGCTCTGCGGTCGACCATTATCTTCCATTAACATGGCATTGTCGCCAATAAATGGAGCGACTGGGGTCATAGGTTCTAGAAGAACTTTCTCAATATACCTTAATGAAGTCAAAGATCCATGTATGACAATAAGAAAAGGCTGTGACTCACATGGCACACAGAGTCTCTGTCATCTAATTGCCACAAACCAAACCACTCAACTGTGTAGAGAACAGCCCATTGTTCAAGTATCCAAGCAAGATGTTGATTTGCAAAAAGTCAACTTTCTACTTGGTGTCTCTCCAGTAGTAGAGAACCTGATGCGGGACATCTAGAGACTAGATATTCTCAAGAAGCCTTGTGATGGCTGTTTTAAAGCTCACTTTTTTTTAATGCATTTATTTTTTTATTATTGTTTGTTTATTATTGTTACCAAGAGCCGGAGGAGTAATTCCCCCTGAACACTGCAGCTATAAAGCTTATTGCATTTTTTCCTGGCTCCATTTTTGGGAGCTCGCAACTTGAGCCCCCGGTGTGCGGGAGTTCTGTTATCAATGAAACTCATTTTCGAAGGGGGTGAGGACCAAATTCAAGATCGCTGATATCCAATCCCGACCCAGACTTTCCGCTGATAAGTGGCATTTCTATTTTCATTGCGGCCACCACTCCCCTTAAGCATCAGAGAAAAATTCTAGAGGTGATGATGGGAATCGAACCCACAACTGCGGGATCTACTAGCTGAGAGTCTGACACCTTAACCACTTTGCTACTGCGATCCTCGAGTTCGCCTTTAAAATCATGCTTTTAAGAAAACAAAATTAATAATTAATTTTTTACTCAAATTTATTGTTTTATCAAAGAAAACAAGTTGGCTCTGAAAAGGTTGAAATTAAACTAATTTTCTTTATTTTTCATCTAAAGAGTGTAAAAGGATTAGTAACACCCGTTATAGGTATGCAACAAGTTATTATTGTCGTATTTTTGCTTTAAGTCAACTATAAAGACTGTATAAATACATACAAAAACTGTATAAACATACCTGTACGTATAAAGAACCTAATTATTATGGAAAATAAACAAATTTATACAAGTGTCTGGATTTTGCTTTAATTTTTTATAGTGTGTGTGTGTTATATAATTAACGCTAAATGTTATTCTATGAAAGGTTTGTGATATTCCAATTTACATTTTTCAGTGCTTTGTTGTAAACGCTTTTAAACATACCTATCAATTCCAATACTGACTAAAGAAAAACTAGACTGATACAATCCAAAAGTTCGGAAGAAAGCTGCAATTCTGCAAAGAAAATCTCCACCCCACCAACTGACGGTGGCTGCCCATACAATTTCAATTGGCATGTTAATGAAAGTCACCTGTAGCAAATAATTTGTAAAATGAATTTACATAAATAAATAATAATCGACATCTTTAAAATGTCGTCGAGACTTTGGGAGTATGAGTTAGTTCAGTTTATTCACATTACTTTCGACAGCAATTTATGGGAAACGTATGTAATAAATTAGGAAAAAAAACAAATAATAAAATTTAAATGGAAAAGTTGTTTTAAATATACACAAAGAAGTAAATACATACCAAAAGATCAGCAATGACAAGATGGACAAGCATGTTATTAATCCTTGATCTATGTATTTGTTTTCTTTTTAAAAGCATTGTCAAGACACTAATGTTTCCAATTGCTGAAAATACCATAAGTATTGAATAAAATGCAATCGTCACCAAATGCCCTTCATTGAATCTCATATCGATCGGTATGGCATAAGATACATTGTCGTTTGTGACATATTCTGTAAAATCTGGAAACAGAGTCAATACTAAATCATTCTCTCTTATTACTCTGTTTGCCATTGAGCCCTGAAAGAAATTTAAATAATTTAATTATTGTATAACAAAATTGACATATATGGACAGGTTAGGTCATGACTAGAGACCGGATTTATACGTAATCATATATTTTTTTTGTAAATTTCTCATATTTTTTTTCTTTATATTTTAATTTCGATTTGTATTAATATTGTCTCTTTTTAAATTTAAAACTGTTCTTTCCATCACTGAGTGGGCTAGTCATGGAAAATGGGTTGCTATACTAGATATATATCCTAATTTTGTGAAGCCCTGATTCAAATATTTAGTCCTCTGGGCTGGATGTTTTCATAACCTATAGAGGGCAGACACTGAACTTTTTGTACTTAGCTTGAATCTGCTTTCTAACCGATTTTGAGATTTATGTTCCTTATTCTAGTGTAATATGCTTGGCATTCTTTGTCAGTCATAAGAACTCTGGTGCATAATGGGTTCTTGCATATTGTCAGAGAACTAAAGAATTCAACATGTACAAAAAAATGAGAGAAAAGTAAATTTTTAGATGTGGATTCTTTGATATAAAATATTAAAAAAGCTCATGACTTTTTCATGTCAACCAAGACCTTATATGAAAAGTATAATTAATTAAAACAATTAATATGATAGATCATGACTTCAAAATAAACATATGGGTTAATATAAAAAAAAATTTCCTACATCCTAGATATGATCCACAACCTGTCAAAACAAAATGGGTAACCTGGATAGAAGCTTTTTTTTTTAAGTTTTCAAAAATTAAGGACATTGTTGCAAAATTCAAAGAAAGCATGCAAAATTTAGCTTTTAATGCATATAATTTTTTATTTTCGGCAAGCCAAGTGCATCTCACTCTGCGACAGCATTGCTATGGTGAAAGACGGCTTACAAAAAAAATGACAGGGGATAAAGAGAAACATAAAGTTACGGATGTGGTAAAACAATGTCAGACTTGACAAATTGAAATTGATTATTCTTATTTTGATGAGGGGAAATAGTATAATAAAATTCCGCACACACCTAATGTAATTGAAGCCTTCAATTGAGCCTGCATAATATCCAAAGATGTGTTCTTTTAGTTGGCAGAAAATGTTTTGCCTTGATATTTTTTCCTTTTTACACATTATCCAACTAATATATGTAAATTGTAACATTCTTTTAAAAAATGCATAACTAAATATTTTTTATTTTCCATATTTCTCTTTTTTGCTTATATATTTGTTAAAAAAAATAATATAAATTTGGTACCTAGTCATAACTAATATACCTAGTACCATTTAACCAAGCCAAATACAAAAAAAAAAAAGATATACAAAATTTTTGTTTACATATATGAAATTTTATAAACTCTCATAAAGAATGAAATGACTGTCTTATTTCTGTTTTTCTATTCCTATTATTATTATTTAAACTTAAAAAACAACATAAATAAATAAAAGAAATAAACTCAGAAGAGGAAGAAGTTTTTAAAATGGTTATGTATTTTTCATTACGATGTTTTGACTTAAGTGCTTAAAACGGTCAATAATTGCAATTATTTTTACTATTTTAGTTTAAAAATACAAGAGACTATAAGTATAAATATGCACCAAAGAAGGGAAAAAAGATTTGATTCAAAAACTTTTCTTACCTTGTTTAATGAACGCAGAAATCTACAATAAAAAAGAGTTGGGTGTTATATTATTTTCTTTGCATTTTCCTACTTGCCATCATCCCTGTGCATAATTTTCCTACACTTCAAGATTTATATCTACTAGTTTAGTACATCATTAGTCACTGTAAATCCTCCTTGCTTATATCTCTTCTCTCTTTTTATCTAGAAACATTGAACTAGGAGAGAAAAGGTTATCAAGATTTTTTGAATTAACATTTATCCTAAATACCAAATTGTTTTAAATATTTCACCTCTTATTTGTACAAATTAAGCATGTGAAATATTACTATATTGATTTTATCAAAACAGAATGATGTCAAAGAACAATGAATTATTGTTATTGATAGATAAAAAATAGATATAGTATAGATAACTTGTGAATATTGTGATAGAGAAATAGATAAAATCTTCATTGTACATATATTATAAATAAAATTCCCACTGCCTTCGAGCTTACAAAAAAAGGTTCTATTAAGCGCCAGTCAATTTTTACGGTTTAACTTTGCACAAGTTCATGCTGAACCGGCTTTGGTCATTTATTGGGTCCGTCTTCACTAGTGGGGTTTTTTGGGTGGGGAAGGGGTCAAACCCATGTGTGAAGACGGACCCGATAAGTGACCCAATGCCGGTTCAGCATGAGTTCACCGACTCGCAGACTACCAGCCATCAACTTTGTAAAGATTGTTATAAAACTTTGTTGGAAACATTAAAATTTAATAGAAGTGAATGGCAATTAAGATTTCATAACAACTTTTAATATATTATTCAGAAAGCCGAGAGTGCAAAGATCTGAGTGTGGTTGGAATTTTTTTTTAAATAACGAAATCTTACAAAAATCATTCTTCCATAACATAATTGTCATTTTCTAAAGTGGTATAAAGGGGCTTTAGTAGTATTAAGAAAAAGAGATTATTTCCTTGGGACTTAATATTTTTCAAAATTAAAAATTTGTGTCTCAGGTGGGATTCATACTCCTGATCTTCAGATTAAAACTACGAGGCTCTGTCACTTGAGCTACCATGACTTTGATTGCCCATGCAACGAACTTCTTATTCCAGTTCCCTATTGTGGTATCCAAATATTTACAAATGTGTAAAATAAAATATGGTTTATTTGCTTCTAAATAATATGAAGCATGAAATAAAAGTCTTCTATAATGGTGAATATTTAGGTTGAATGAAACCAGGTATTCCATGGTAGTTGAATTATTTAGAGGTGGAATAGAAAATGAAATAAAATCGTCTGTTGACACTCGAAATAAAAATGCGCTGAGGAAGAGGCAGCAAGAGCCTCGAAATGTATCTACATAAAAAATTACAAAACTTTTATGATCCAGATGAGAAATATCCAACAAAAAGAGAATCAAGAAATGGAACTAAAAGTTTCAAAACTGGAGATATCATTGTTCTATATTGACTATTTCCGATGTTTTTATTAACATTTTGCAGACAATATGCAAGAGCCCATTGTGAACCAGAGTTCTTTTGCCCGACAAAGAACACCAAGCATTTTATGCCAAGATAAGGAACACAAATCTGTCGTATTTTGTCAGAAGCTTGCTTAAAAAGTAGATTCAAGCTTGCTGTAAAAGGTTCACTGCCCCTCATTGGAGCAACATCATCAGGGTTGTGAAAAAATCTGGCCCAGAGGACCAAATATTTGAATCATTCCCTATTCAAGTATAATAACCTGTTTTTTTATGACTAACTCATAATAACGGAAGGCTGTGTGATGTATAAAAAAACAAAATTACAGAAATATTTTAAAGTAAACAATGTACAAATTTGCTAATAGATGTACATCATCAATATTTTACCCTCTTAAGAGTTATTTTATCCCCCATTCTGTGCACTGGTGACCTAGTTCATTAGGAACTTGATTTGTAGGCCCCGGTTTCAATGGTTGAATTTCTTCTACAGTTGTACATCCCAAAACCATCCTCCTGCAGTGGCACCACAGTTTGTTAGTACGCGTGTTGGTGTTTCCTCTCCTTTTTTGCTAATAACGAAAGCAGATTTAAATTTAAAAAAGATGTATAATATTAATACAAATTAATCCATATTTGCTTAGTGGTCATAATTGATGGTATTAACTTAGATTTAAAAAAAAAATTAATTGGAATAATTAATACAAATTGCGACAAACTTCACATTTTGATCCTTGATTTATTCTCCATTGTGCATGGGTGATTGAAGTCACAGTAGCTCAAGTGATAGAGCATAAGAGTATTTATCCGAAGATCGGTTAAATAGGTTTGATTTCAAAAAATTGTATGTAATAATTTGAATTTGTATAATATATTTTTTTACAAGGGTATTTCCTCTACAGGGCTATATGTTTAAAAAAAAAAAGAAAAAAAGAAGAAAAAACAGCTCATCTGTAATGCAGGGCCACTGGATTGGAAAACAATACAATTATATATTTATAGCATAAATGACAGCAAAAATTGAAAACAAACAACTGTTGTTTGCAGCTGGGATATATTCTTAATTAATGTTTGATTACTTTTCTCAGAACGTTAATCATCCATTCTACAAGCCGAAATCTTTTAACAACATTTTTATCTCGAAAGAATCTCATCATACACCACGACCTTTTTTGATAAAATTAATTATAAGAATTTAATAGTATGGAGATTTGATTTTTTACGGCGGTAATTAATTTTTGTTTTGAATCTGCTTGCCCATAAAAACTGAGCTGTTAAGTTCTATAATAATTTTTTTAATATATTTTTTTAAAATTTCAATCTGATTCTAGCAGATAACAAATAGGGTGATTCTGCCTGGTTGAGTTGAGAAAAAAACTATCTTAGATTAGAAAGATGGGACATAAACTTTGACAGTAATATTCTTAGAAAAGGAGATACATTTTTATGTATATGTACTTAAACATTTAAAGACAAACAAATCGATCAGTTACGAAATTTAAGAACACTCTGGATCATGGTATGGTCTTGAAGAAAAAATCAAATTCAGTTATAACTAAGCAAATTCAGTTATTACTGCCAAGTTTCAATCTATTTTAAGGTCGTTAAGGGAAAAACAATTTTAAATGACCTGATGAAAACAGGTCAAAAGCATGGTAGTAACAACTGAATTTGATTTTTTCTTCAAGACCATACCTTGATACATTGTGTTCGTGAGTGAAAAAGTGAACTAGCACTGAAAACTTGGAATTTAAGGTGCAAAGGATAATTGATCAACCATTTAAATAATATAACATTAATTACGACACATTCTACAATATGTAAACATTTAAAATGGAGCATTTAAGATGTAATGCTAGAAAAATAATTTACTTAAAAAATATGAAAATTTATAGAAAAAAATGGAATTAACTCAACATTAAATACATTAAGGGAAATAAATAAATGCTAAATATAAAATTAATACAGCTGTTTCTTAATAGATATCAATTAAACATATAATTAAAGCAATAAATATATTTACCTTTTAAACTATACACTTCAATTATAATATCCAAAAGTTTCACACAACTTTGTCCCAGTTCTAAGACTGCCAAACATTTCGGTTTTCTGATACGATATCTTAGAATTGAGACCCAATTAAACATAATTGAAGATCTATGAGGTCCCATCCGACCCATATCTGGTAATATACTTTCACCAAACAATTCAGCGTTTTTTTTCCCGTATACGTTTCTATTTGATTTTATCCGCCAATGATATAGAAAATAGACATTGTTTATAAGGACAACTGAGTATAAAACATCAAGAAAGTCTATTTCCATTTTGATAAATGTAGCATTACCTTGATTGGTATTATTAACAGGCTTAGATGAACAAATCTTATGTAAGATATTTTTACAGCAATCAAACAATAACGATTTTACTGGAAGTAAAATTTAAATATGTATTCAAAACACTATGCTAAATACTAATGATTTCATATTTATACCTCTTCCTATCAGCCCAAAAGAAAAATTTCTGATCAACACATAATATTATGGTGTGAAAAATAAGGATTAGTAGTTTTACAAATAAAATCGAAAGAGTAAAAGCATAAATTTAACTGGAGAACTTCTGCAGCCAATGTTATTTTAATTAAATTCGTGTGATTAAAAAAATAAAAAATATTAAAAAAACCTGGAGATTTTGAAATACAATTATCACTAGATCGAAAGAAATACATATAAATTATTCAAATTTACAAAAGACATCAGTCCTTGATTGATCTAGACCTGCAGAGGCTGTCTAGATGGGAAAAGGTCATACCAGGTTGCACATAGGTCAAGATCAACCATGGAGACCAAATGACGCTCGCAGGTGCCTGTTGTGTAGAGAAAGTATATCGGTAGGGTACATAGTAACAAAAAACATTGTAGAAAACAACAAAATTGCCTCTTGTTTATCAGGGCACACAGGCAGAGGGGCAACAAATTGGTTGATAAATTGGCCAACGAAAGTTCGATGAAGACACCAAACTGGCATACAAACTGTCAAAAATATGGATCCATGAGACAATGGATTAAGTCTTTAACCGTCATAAGTAGTCCAGGGAATTGAAAAATAAATTAATCTCAGTTTCCATCTGAACTCCTGATTGCACATATGATTGTCTGGAGAGTTCCAAGGGAGTGGTAAGACTTCCCAAACAACCTTCATTATCATCTTTGTCGCTCTGGCTGTATGCATTTTCCCATTGTTGTAGTGAAAAATTACAACATTTCTGTTCATAAGAGCAGGTTGTTTCTGAGCCAGGGAAGGGATACTCATTGGAGTTGGTTTATGTAGATTTCTGTGGTGATGGTTTTGTCACATGACAAAAATTCATAGTGCACAATGCTTGCCATACTCCAACAAATACAAAGCATCACCTTTTGTTGGTGAATATTTGGTTTTTGTGCCAATGGGACAAAGTCATTTGGTAACAATCAATGTTACATCTTGGTTGTGAACAGAGTCCATTTGCATGTAACAATGCGACAAAAAAGTTTCTACTTTATGCCATGAAAGCAATAAAAGATAAATTTTTAGATACTGAAGTTTTTTAGCTCATCTGTCAATTTATGAGGAACCCATTGCTCAGCTTCCACGTTTAACCAAATCGATGTAAGCATGAATGGTCTCATAACACTCTTGCATCTTGTTGGCATCTTCGACTCAGATCAAGTTCGATAGCTTCGCTCAATTCATCGTCATTCAAAATAGGTCTACCTGAGTTGTCTTCAATACCCTAATGCCCGGAAGCAAACTTTTTGAACCGCTTTTACGCTCAACTCCGCCAACACTTAAAAATAAAATGTACTAACTTGGCAGACACCATTGCGCTCTTAAGCCACACAAATTGGGGAGAAGACTGGAGAATCATGCTAAAATTTCATGAATCAAGGGTTCCTCATAAATTGACTAATGGTAACAAGTTTTTGCATATAAACATTTGCCTTTCATAGTTTTTATAACATAGAATAGTGAGCTTTTTGACTGGATTGTCACTTGCAACAAAAAATGAATTTGATACAATAATACTAGGTCATACCATTTGTCACCAAATGACTTGTCTCATTTACGCAAAAACCAAATATTCAACTTAAATGGTGGTTTTGTATTTGGTGTAGTGTTAAAAAATTCAACCATGAATGCTTACTTTTTCCAAGTTTGATGGTATTTTATTTGATTCACTAGTTTCACCAATTTTTTTACATATCTGGTACAATTTCTGAAGGTGTGTGAGATCAAGTTAAAATAGTCGAATACATCAAAACTCAAGTCATGACTCAAACCTCAACTGATAGGTGAAAATCTAAAAACCGGTTAAAACTTCTACTTTTTTGGTATATTAGATGTCTCACTAGATTCATCAAGCTTTTTTTTTACATATTTGGTATATTTGGTTTACATATAGGTATGTGAGATCTAGTTGAAATAGTCGAAACTCTAACGCGCAACTAACCCTTCAACCGGTAGGTGCAAATCGAAAAACTGGTTCAAACACTTACTTTTTCAAAGACTTTGGTATTTTAGATATTTCACTAGTTTGAAAAGTTTTTTTTTTACATATTTGGTACAATTTCTGAAGTGATAGATATGTGAGATTTAGGTGAAAAACTCGAATGTATCAAAACTAACTCGTAACTCACACATCAACAGGGGAGGGTTTTTGGTGAAGAGTCAGATAGGATACACTACACCATATAGAAACCCTCGAAACACTGACTGGGCAAGGTTCACTGAGGTAGTACAGTACAGTTTAAACCATGCAACTATGAGAAGAATATCAAAAACCTGCAAAGAATTGGAACTCACAGGATGTGATAATTGATGCATAAGAGTCAAGTTGCCCTGTGAAGGAGCCAAAAGTGGACAAGAATCACTCTGCCTTATCAAAATGTGTAGGGCATAGCTGCAAATGGTAATGTTCAATACTTCTCGTCTTGCTTTGGTGACAAAGGTGGGGTTTGTCCCTGTGTTAAGAATTTCTAATTTTTCCTTTACCAAAAATTCTATGAGTGACTCACCACACTTGTTGTTCATGCTTTCCCAGACCAGTAGAGGGAGGGTTCTTCTCATTGCAATAGTTAGCCAGTCTCCGCAGTTCTTCAGGGGTCCTCCTCTCATGAGACGTAGGTCGATGCTACCACTGCTTCTAGTTTTTTCTCATCAGTTGTTATCTCCATTTTGATGGGGATTAGGTCTGTGGACGTGAATTCTGCAAGACAGAGATTATTAGTATCTTTCCTGATTAATATAAATGCACGGGGATTTTCCTGTGAGATGATTCATAAGAATTTTGTAACGCAGTGCATGTGAATAGATCGTTGAGGAGAAAGAACATGTCTGAAGGTAGAACTAGTGCTGATCGTTGAACAGGCACCAGGAAACTTGTGAAAATGTAGATTTATTTAAAAAACAATGGCCTGGACAAATAGCTCTTCATATAAAATATTGTCAAAAAAGGTTTTGTGTTTTGCCACAAACCCACTACTGAAGGTGGTCAGAAGTCAGACGTCTCATGATGAAATGGCTAAGCAAAAATAAGCAACTCAATATGAAAAAATGAAAGTATAAATAATATAATATATGTAATATAAAAATATATAACATTCTCCCTATTTCCTTCTGTCCCATGAACATTGGGATTGTCCTTGATCAGATCTTGTCTTGGAAGCACCATACGTCCCAGATCATATTAGGTCTTAATAAACTCTTAGTTTCCTCCTTTATTCACCTCACTTTGATTACAGATGTGTGTACGGAGGAATCACAGAAGAGTTTTTAAGATGACATGACACGGTGCTCATCACTGTAAGGTAAAGGTCTTGGGTTCGAACCTAGCAGCTCTGAATTCGAAGCTGACTTGCTTATAAATGGGCTTTTTTCCCAAAATTATAAACTTTGTTTTTAAATACCCTGGGCTTATGAATTGTTTTGAACAATTTATTGGGCATGTATGGAAAATAAATTGTNGAACATTGCTTTAAAGTAACTAGTTTCTTTTTTTTTGTTTAATAACAAAATCCTGCATTATTTTCCGGACAACCCAATAATTAAAATACCCTCCTTCACCCTCAATACAATTTTCCCAATGCGATGGCAACTTCTCTATACCCAATGAATAGAATTTTGAGTCTTTATTATTAACAAATCCGGTAAACGCATTTTCTAACAACTTTTGATCAATAAATTTTTTATGTTGTAAAACGTTGACCAGGTGTCTGAAAAAAATGGTAATCGGTACTCTAGAGTACTGGAGAATAGTGAGGGTGAAGCATTCATAACCAAGATCAAACAGTTTTCGTGTGGTCATAACAAACTGTGTAACAAAATTGACCTTTTCGATTGACCTAAAGGTGGTTTCAATAATGCCAATTTTTAGTGCATTGCTTCAAAATGAAATTGCTTTGCCGGCATTCAAGAAACTGTTGTAAATCAGCCCAAATATAAAGCCCGCCAAAGAGTTGCCATCAACTTTGGGGGCTTTGGAAAATGTGGTGCTGCTTCTCCTTTGCCCACTGTCCAGAACATCTGCAGTTATCATCTTAGAGAATCCACTTTCATGACAAGTAACAATTCTATCCAGAAAAGGTTTTTTTTTCTGTTCCGGCAAAGAATTGTTGTACATACTTCATAAAGACGGTTTTTTTTTGTTTTAAATGCATGAGGAACCCAACTTTAGAGCTTTTTCACCTTTCTGATTTGCTTAAAGTGGTCAGAGATGATCAATTTGCTAACTGAAAGATTCTCTGCAAGTTCTCGAACAGATGCTCTGGGATTTTCTAAGACCAAAGCTCGCAGAACATCACCACCTAGGGAAGAATTCCTTCCACAACCTTCCTTGTCTTCATGCCTAAAGTTTCCTTCTCAAAAGTTTTTTAAACCATCTCCAAACAGTGTTCCAGACTTCATTAATGTGTCTGGCCATTTGGGCATCGTTCTGACCGAGTTTAAACTCGTAAAACAAAATCACGCGTTGACATATTAGTCTGAACTGAATTATTCCCATAACGAAATGCTTTTGAGGTAAACAAACTATTTTTTTGGAAGAGGATTAAAAAGTGTTGACATTTGTATAAAAGAATAATGAATCAAATATAAACATTTTTTTTATATAGAAAGGTATTTAAAAAAAAAAGAAAAACATGAAACCTGCATTATTTTCCGGACAACCAAATACCTTAAGTTCCCCAAGGAGGTCCCACCTACACCGACTCAAATTGTTTATGCCTTTCCTATCAGAGGCAATACTTCCTTGGTTCTTGCCTCTATTACATATCTTTCCATTTTCTCTTTGTATATGATCTGATTTTCAGATCCATTCTACACTCCTGACAAATCTCCCTTCTGACCTCTATTCTCCTAAACGCAGAACCACTGCATTCCTTCCTTATTAACTTACGCCTCCAACTTGCGGAATTCCATTCCTCACTCTATCCGCCGATCCATTTCCACCTTCTTCTCCTTTCAACTTGGCACCGAATGCTCTCGATTGTCCCTTTTTACTTTAAATTCTTTTGTAGAGTGTTTTTATTTTGTATGTATATATTTTTGTAAACAGACTTTTTTTTTTTACATTTGCCCTTCAGACATTCAGCCAATGCCATTTTGTTGGTGACTGCGCCAAGAAAACCCGAGCCAGCCAACCCAGCACCCCCGGAATGACCCAGACTCCTCACCTCTTAATTAATCAATTGGTAAATAAATAATTAATAAATAATCTATGCAAATGTACAAATATGAACAAACAAATTTCAATATAAATAGTCAATAAATAAATAAATCAATATTTACAGCGATAAAAAATAATCAATTGGTAAATTAATATAAATATATAAATACTACTACATAATAACAACGTAAATCATTAATAAATTAATAATTAGATAGATTTTGCGTTAATTAATTGATTAATTAATTGGTAATGAAGCCTTCAGTTTATTTTTATTTAACAATTCAAACAATGTTTTAAATACCATTTCATTTTCAGAACCTATAAGGCTATTAAAATTGATGGGTTTCTCTACCTCTTTGTAACTAAAGATTCGTTCAAAGATGGCATTTCTCGCTTCTTTATACAGACATATTTGTAAAGCCTTATTAGGCCTTGTAAATACGTTGTATTCATAATCAATTATTCAAGGTGACTTTAAGTCCCAAATAAGGATTATTTTTCATTTCATTTCAAGGAAAAATAAATAGTAGACATAAATCGAAAAAGGCCTAGTCTAAAAATATTTTCTTTTCTTTTCGTGTTGCTTGGGAATATAAAATTGTACGTAAGAAAACAAACGCAAGTGTAGGTGATGTTTTGTTTGTTTGCCAATATTTTACATATATTCAGTCATTGTACACAACAGTTTGGCATGCCTTTTCTTCTAATTTGTGTAGATACGAGATTGGCGTCGGTGATCTATTTAGAACGCGTCAGCTTTTATTTGTTCTGTGTCTGACTGTTAATTATTTAACGTAACTCCTTCTAGGGGAAACCTTGAGCGTGGAAATTGCCGCTTGAGGAATGGCGGGGCATCCTCTGGAACTCGAGTTCTGCCCATCCATCAGTCCTGGCCTGGACATAATCGCGAACGGTCTTCGACTTTCCTTTACTAACTCGCGTCTGGTTGAAGCGTCCCGTTGAAGTGCGTCGTGTGTAACAATGCTCGCCAAAAAATTTCACGTCTTGCAAAGTAAGTTTGCTACTGCTCTATTAGATTTATTATATGCATTTTATTAATTATTTCTATAAATTTTTCACACTTGCCACAAGCTGAACACACTTTCTTGCCAGTTTTGGCAGTGTGGAAATAACTGTTTTTCGTGTAAAGAAATTTTTTTTTTTGTTTCGGCAGTTCGTGGCAAAATTGATCAAGTTTACAATGCATCTTTAAGTAACAAGCAATGACGACTAGTATGCATAGAAACTTGCTATATTCTTGCTGCCTACGTGATGAAAAAAAAACTGATTATGTCATATATCAAAACATTTTTGTATAAAAACAGTTTTAAAATGAAAATCTACTTTTAAATTAGAAAACTTGCGAGATTATGACAATAACCCCATGTTTAATTTTACGTAGATTTCTTTCAAAAACCTAGCGCTCTCTAGCGGCCCCATTTTTGATCGCATTCCAATGAAATTTGGAAGGATCGTAAAGAATCGTATATGGACAATTGGGATTGTTTTTCAACCAAATCGTCTGGGGGCCGCAGAGTTATAAGCAATGAAAGTAAAAAAAAAAAATCAATCAAAATTTTTGTAATTTTTGTGTTTTCTCCCTCACAACAACCAGCTCGATTTGTTTAACTTCACTCCCTCCTAGCTACACCCCTCATTATTGGATTTTTACATGTTTTGTACCGATTTTAAGCTGGATTCTTCCTGTAACTTTTAAGCTCGGTTTGGCTCCAATCCAAACAGTATTTTAAATGTTATCATAATTTGACAAAAAAAATCCCATTTTTAATCGGGATTTTTTCTCAAAACGGTACTTTCAAACCTAATTTCTTTCGTTTAAAAGATCAAATTATTTTCTTTTTTATAATAAAATAAAATCGTAGGCGTCATTACAAATATGCAAATTTTTTTTTAATTAACAGAGGAATCAGGGTAAAAAGAAAAGTCCTTAAAATTGTGTATATTCACTAGTTTTCGTGGTCCGCTTGACCAATTAACATCTTTCAATTAATTAAGGTTTTCAGTTGAGATAAAAAAGTCAGCGTCACGAGCGGGATTCGAACTCACGATCTTTGGCTAGATACGCCGCTACTCTACCACCTGAGCTATCATGATTTCGATATACTCGAACACTAACTACCCATCTCAACCCTACCTTTTGAATTTTCCCTCCTTTTCGCCATTTTTTATTTCAACTAAAACCTTGAATGAGGTTGTATTGTAAGAAAAACCAAGTTCTGTAAAATTAAGTGAATTAAATAAATTTTACCTTTGCGGCTAGAACCCTTGAGTAATTAGATTAAACAGCCAAGAAATTGTCTTGATCTTAGATTTACTTTTGATGGCCGTTAAACAGCCAAGATCTTGAAAAACCGTTCACTCCACAACAATCGTTCGTTCTTTATTGTACAATTTGTTTTTCGTCAAATCATCCAAACGGGTTTTTACCCTTAGCACCCGAGAACTTTTGTAAAAATCTATTAAGAAACTTTAAAATTTCTCACCTTATAAAAAACCCAATTCGAACCGAGAAATCGTTTTCATTTGAACCGACCTAAAAGGTGAAAAAAGGGTTAAGGCTCCCTTTACATAATTGAACGAGGAAACCTACTTAACCCGAGACTTCGGTAAGCTTTTAACGCCATTTTTGTAAGACTTAGACACGAAGGCCAACACGTGCCGGTGAAATATGAAACCTATTTTAGTATCGTCTAATTTTTCATTTGTGACATCTTTACTTTCATATGGTCTGTGTACTTTCTTGATACTTCCGTCCTCGTATGGTAGATTAGTCAAATTATCTCCGATATAATTAGTGATAAGCTTTCAATTATCAGCTCCTTCCCCAGTGTTTTTACTTAATAGGTGTCACTTTCTTTTTAATTCACCTCATCTCTGATCGTTTTTTAATATAAAAGGGTAATCGAATAATTTTAATGATGCGAGAATAGACGACACATTGCAAAATTTTAATTCTTTACTTGCAAATCATTCGTGATCCTTTTCTTGTGTGATGTACCGGTTTCGTAAGCTGTGTTTAGTTGTGTGCTTTTAAGGCGTTCAAGGCTTTTCTGAGTTTCTTATTCAGCACTTTGTTGCTAAATTGTAAAACAACATACTTTTTTTTTAGAAATGCATTAATTAAGGTGATTTTTCTAGGGCTATATTTGACTCTAACGCGCTTTGTCTGGCTAATTGACTTTAAAACTAATAAACAAACAGTGGTCGATAATTTCAAAACGTACAACTTTTCTAACTTCTACGAGAAACACGAAAAATGTGTTTTATTTACAGGAGAAAAAGATCGATAGTTAAATTGTAGAAGGATGTCTCCGTCGATTTTTCTGTTTTGGCGAAGCATAAATAAAACAATTTTAGTTTATTACTTAAAAATAAAAGTATTCGTATTAGATAGTTCACGAGGGCGTCAAAATGCACTCACCTTCTAGATAAAATTTAAGATAAAAATGGTCGTCTATCGGGTTAGATTCATTGCGAAAAATTTCAGCATATTTTTGTACAGATAAAAGGAGAGGAATTTTTCGTCGGTACTTTTTCAAACGAGATTATGAGTTGCTTGTTAGATCGGATCTGGGTGAAATTGGAAGCGAAAGATGATCTTTGACAATGTCCTCTCATTTTCCGACCCGTTTTATGTTCACTTACCGATTTTCGACATGTAAGGGTTTTTTTGAAAAGTTTCTTTTAAACATTTCAATACTGTTAAACATTTCAATACTGCTCAGTGAATGTAAGTGCCTGGTGGAAGACAAATTCCCGGATCTACCACCACAACTGCATCAAGGAAAATGCTAGAGGCACGTATAGCGGGGAACACACTTACCCGATGCAACGCTATGCGACGCTACCCGACGCAAATCCAAAATCCATTTTTCCATAACATTGTATCACCCCCGTGCACATCAGCCCGATGGCACGCAACGCTACCCTACTCTACGCTACGCAATCCCCACGTCCAGATTTTCGTCGGGTAGCATCGAGTACAGTCGAAGACAAAAGAACCGGACACTCATATTTTTATTCAAACATTTATTCTTGTCGTTATATTAATTACAACATACTTATTTTAATATAAACCAAATTAACCGAGATCAAAAATTCATTAGTTTGTATAAAAAAAAAATTAATATTTTGGTAGAAAATTGATCGAAACACCGGAATAACATTTTTTGATATAATGAATTTAAATTAAACAATTTATTACACGGTTTTGCTCATAAAATTTAACTAACAATTTATTTCATGGTTTTTCTCATAAAATTACACCATTTTCGTCGAGTAGCGTCAGAACAGGACACTCATATTTTTTGTAGTTTATTTCAAACTAAGTATATGTAATTTTGTCGTTATATTAATTACAACATTCTTATTTTAATATAAACCAAATTAAACGAGATCAAAAATTCATAAATTTTCATAAACATTGTTTAATTACGATGGTTAGGAGTAACTTTATTTAAAACAACTAAGTTTAACAAACAATTTATTAGATGGTTGTGCTCATAAAATTTAACTAACAATTTATTACAAGGTTTTGATCAAAATAGTGCATTAAGAACAAAAGAGGCGTTGCGATTTGCTGCGTCGGATAAGTGTGTTTCCCGCTTTACATGCAAATGCAAGGAACGGGGGAATAACCTCAAGCAGGCCCTGGTGATGCCCGTGACATCATGATATCAGTTAATGCCGACTTAGATCAGGAGCAGGTATCTATGTAAATCAACCAAGGAATAAAATTCACATAATGGCTTGGGAATTATGTCTTTTAGGCGGAGTCTACTATTGAAAACTGCCAGGGAGATCAAAAGGCTGGGTATTACCAACAAAATAATAGTCTCGGATTAGAGGCAACTATTTCATCGGTATAAAAGTCCAGAGCAGTTTTGGATTGCATCAAAGCGCTGTCAGACATTGGGACAATAAAGTTACCGTTGTTTGGCTACCAGAGCATACAGCGCAAAGAGGCAACTGGGATATAAATTGGCCAAGGAAAGTTCGTTGAAGTCATCTTTCGGCTCTGAACCCTTGTGCGGCATACTAAATGGCCAAAACTTAAATCCATCAAAGAAAATTAAGAATAAGTCATCGGTACCATCGCAGAATCTATTAAACCGTGTTTTGATTATAATGGTAATAGGACAGCTGTCAGGGCACTGCAAACTCCTGGGGGGGATATCCTGCAGACAAATACACACAGACACAAACACAATCTCTGTCACACTCTCACACTAAACCAGCTCTGAAGAAAAAATGAAAAATAGATCTCAGAACCATAATCCACAATGCAATGCCATGTGGGAAACCGTGCAGGAACGGTGTTTGAATTTGAGACCTTGTATCTCCTTATCTGTAAAGAAAACTGAGCAAGAGTGCAACTGATAATGTCGGTATTCAGTCAATTACAGATCGAGTACCACATGTGCCCACACCAAGCACTCATCTGGCATTAAAAGGGCACTGCACTTCTCAATCATTTCTAATGCCTTGCACACACCAAACCAGTTCGTCATGTGCGATGAAAAGGAGATACCACCGCAGAACAATAGTAAATCACAATGACATGCCAATCTGGTAACAATAAAACCACCATTTTGAATTACGATCACCAAATTTAGACCTAACCTTAGTTTAATTGTGAAGAACACTGATCACGGGTGCTATTGATAATTACAGTATCTAGTTAGATAAGATCAAGGACTGTAGCCAAAACAAGAATCTGGCACTATCCTGCATTACCTATAATCATTCTCCAATGACACCGTACTTTTTAACTATCTCTTGCATACCTGAGATTCCTCCCGATACCATAACCAACTCGGTATGAGCATTAAAGGTGATACCACAGCAGAACCGTAATCCACAATGTAATGTCATATATATTTTACGGAAAGTTTCTTTCGTTCTTAAATAGTCGAAAATATAATCAACTTTTACGGTTGTCCTTGGAGGAACTAAATCATCCTCACACGGTTAAGACCATGCGAGATTGAC